GGGGGGGGGGGGGGGGGGGGGGGTGATGGGACGCGCCACTGGGGCACGGACTTTGTGCCCCCAAAAAAAAGTTGCCGGGAGCTAAAAAGAAAGGTAAAGGTAAAAAGCATCCCCAATAATATTCCGCGCAAATCTTCTGCTTCTGCCTCTTTCTGCCTCTGTCTTCTTCCCGACCGCGCGCGCAGCAACAGTCTAGATGCCGTCAGACAACGACTTGGCGCAGGCTTACAAGGGGCAGTACCCAGGTAATTTTCGACCTGCACGATGCTGACCAACCGCTGCGACCCTTGCCTGAGCCGCGATGCAGGCACAGAGGCCACGACGACAAATCGTGGGCTATATCAACCCAGGCACTATGGGAATAGAACGTCCATCTGCCCCCAATCAAGAGAAATCCCGGATACGCCTTATCCACCCACCAACGCGCTACAGCCTCACCCTCCCCACGGGTGGGAGGGACCGCTCTTCAGCTCCGTTGGGGTCTCTTCTCGGTCATCTCTGCGAGGACGACGACGACGACGACGACGACGACTTGTGCAGGTGGCGACGGAGCCCACGTAGCTGTGCGACTCGAGGCGAAAATAACTAGCACTCTTCACTCTTGCCAACAGGTTACATTGGGTGGTCAGGCTTCAGGTCTTGGCCAAGACAACGGACACACAGAGACCAGGGGGCGGCCCTTTTTCGTGATGCTCCGTACCAAACAGAGACGTCCGTCCCACAGTCATGCTGTTTGCCAACCAGTAATAATAAGCCTCAACAACAACAACAGCAGCAGCAGCAGCAGCAAAAAAAAAAAAAAAAAAAAAAGGTTTGGTCTGGAGCAGCACAAGTTCAAAGCAATTCAACTTCAGCCCAAAAAGCTAGCGCCGCCCCGGCGTGTCGCCAACTGCCTCAAACATGCTCATCCGCCGGGGGTCCGTCTGTATTGGTAGCTCCCTAACTATGGAGTGCAGTACAAAAGTCTGATTAGGTTGATGATGGAGTACCGAGGAAATGGAATTCTTTTTCTTCCTTCCTTCTCGTCCTTCTTCTTCTTCTTCTCACAGACTAATTCCTCTCCTATCTCAACTCACACGCCCCTCCCCCTCTCCCCGTCTTCTTCCACCATGCCATGTGCTCCGTCGAACCTGCGGGCTGGCAACCCCAAGACCATAAACGGTAATACCTACTCCTTCCTCTTGTTTTTGCTTAGAAACAGAAGACATGTAAGAAAATAGTAGTCGTTCCACAGACTAACCAACCCACTCTTCACACCCCTCCCCTTCCCTTCCCTATTTCGTACGAGTGCCGGTGATGCATCATGCCAGCCAGACCCAACACTTCTTCCGTATGACAGGCTCCCAGCCTGCCAGCCGGCCTGCTCGTGCGCAATTTGTCGCCCGATTCTGTCATTGTCGGTTTCTTCCACCACTTGTTTCTTCCCTTTTTTTTCTTCTACCTCTTCCATCTTCATCCTCCTCGTCATTACGCCGTCTTTCTTCTACATACCCCAAGTAAGCCGCGGGACACTCACACCACCCTCCTCTTCAAAGGCAGAAAGTCGACATACAAATAAGATTCACGCCAACCTCGAGCCCGTCTCAACTACATCCCCCCAAGTCACTCACCTGCCAACAACCAGACGCTAACTCAGGTTGACCATCTACACAACTGTGTTATCTTGACTCTTCCTCATTGTCTACCATCGTCATCACCGGCCTGACGACTTCCATCCTCCCCGTCCTCACTCTGCGAGTTGCCTCTGCGCGCTCTGCTTCACTCACACCATGGCCTCCCCAAAGAGCGTCTCCCAGTCCATCCTCGACATCATCACCCAGTTCGCGCTGAACAAGTTCGATGACTCGGATGCGCGCATCGCCGCCGGCACCCCGTCCTTCCTCGCCACCATCGACGCCTTCGTCGCTGCCGAGCGCGAGGTCCAGACATGTCTCCCCTCTTTCCCCTTCAAGTCGGCCAACAAGCAGTACAAGGTCCTCGGCTCGCTGCCCGACAAGGCCGAAGAGCTCGCCCTCGCGCGTCTCAACAACATGTGCCGGCGCATTCGCGAGGTCTACCCACCGGGCGCGCGCGTCACCATCATCTCCGACGGCATGACATATAACGGTGAGTTCCCGATAAGACACAAACGGCACGGTTGCGTCACGTCACTAACACGACGCAGACCTCCTCTCCATATCGGACCGCGAGACGTGGCAGTACGGCGAGGCCCTCCGCAAGATGGCCCACGCAAAGGGCTTCAACCACGTCTCCTTTGCGCGCATCCGCGACCTCGTCGACTGCCCGGACCTCCCCGCTCAGCTGCGCGAGATCACCTACGTCGCCAACTGCACCAACATGCGCCGGGTTCTCCTCAACGAGCACGGCCGCGACGACCTCGACATCGACAAGGAGATCGTCGATAACCCGGACACCAAGCTCACCTACCTCGGCTACCGCCGCTTCCTCGAGTCCGACCTCAAGCACATCTTCCCGACCGACAAGGACCGCACAAACCGCGCCTACAAGCGAGACGTCAAGTATGTTGCCAAGCAGATGCTGAAGCGTGGATACGTAGGTTTCCTTTTCCAACAACCGGATGCAGGCGGAGACTCCCCGCTAACAAATAGGGCAGGCATTCGCCGGAGCCGTCAAGAAGGCGTTCCCGGACCACCTCCGCCTCTCCATCCACGAGTCCCTCGGCGAGCACAAGGTCTCCATCAGCCTCCTCAACACCCAGACCGGCTTCACCACGCCCTGGCACTGCAGCGTCGCCCAGCTCGCCGACGGCGAGTGGATCAGCGCGCCCAAGGGCGAGTTCGAAAAGGACGCCCGCCTCGAGGTCGTCCTGGAGAACGGCCGCCCCTCGCACTTCCGCGAGAAGCCGCGCGCCCCCGACGACGCCACCCCGCGCATCAGCGAATCCTGGACGACCTTCATGCCCGCCGCCAAGAAGTTCAGCCCGTCGTCGGCGGGCTCCTCGTCGCCGAGCCTGCGCTCGGAAGCGGGTGGCGGCCGCCGCGCGTCCTCCCCGTCCGTCGGCCTCGGCATCAGCGGCTGCACCACGCCCGAGCCCGCCGCCGCGAACACCAAGGGGGACGAGACGGTAGTGGGTAGCGGTGGCTCACCGGCCGTCGACTACGGAAGGCGACTGCTGCCCCAGATCATCGACGAGCGCGCCGCTTCCCATCCGGACCAGGTCCTCTTCTCGCTGTCGACGATGGTCAGGAACGAGCTCCAATTCCGCGACATCACGGCCAGGCAGTTTGCCCGGGCCATTGACAAGACGGCATGGTGGCTGGAGGCCCAGGTCGGCAAGCAAACCGCCATCCAGCCGATTGGATACATCGGACCACGTACGCTTCTCCTTTACTTGACCTTCCCCCCGCGCACGCCCTGTCAGCATGCTAACCCCAAGCAGATGATCTTCGACATGTCCTGCTGACGTACGCCTGCGTCAAGGTCGGCTATGCCGTGAGTCTTGATCTCCCCAGTCGCTTACCCTGCTCTACGCTGACATTCCCAGGCTCTCTTCCTCTCCCCGAAGAACAGCACCCAAGGCGCCCTCGCCGTCCTCGAGACCCTCGGCTGCAACATCTGGGCCAAGGCCGGCGACGCGCCCCTCGTGCCCCTCGTCCAGGACGTTCTCCAGCAGCGCCCCATGACCCTCCTCGAGCTCCCCACCCTCGACGTCCTCCTCGACGTCTCCTCCAACCCCCCTCCACCTTACCCCTACACCAAGACCTTCTCCGAAGCCACCACCGAGCCCTTTTGCTTCCTGCACACCTCCGGCAGCACCGGCGTCCCCAAGCCCATCCCGTGGTCCAACGGGCTCATCGGCACCATGGACGCCGTGCGCCTCCTGCCGCGCGTCCCCGGCGACCACGGCCTGCCTCCCTGGACCGCCGACTGGCTCCCCGGTGACCGCATCTACTCCTCGTTCCCCATGAGCCACGGCGCCGGCATCATCATGAACCTCCTGCTTCCCGCGCTGCTCGATCTGCTGTGCGTCATGGGCCCCGTCGGCGTGCTGCCCAACATCACCCTCGTCGAGGCGCTCGCCGAGCGCGCCCGCGTCGACATATGGAGCATGGTGCCGTCGCTGACCGACGAGGTCGGCGAGACCCCCGACGTGCTCGCCAAGCTCGCGCCGTCCAAGTTCATCTGCGCCTCCGGCGGGCCGGTCAGCCCGGTCAGCGCGGCCAAGGCCAACGCGGTCGTCCGCGTGCTCAACCTCACGGGCACCACCGAGGGCCTGTTCATCGGCAACCTGGTGCCCGCGCGCGAGGACTGGTTCTGGTTCGCCTTCCACCCCTACTCGGGCTTCGAGTTCAAGCCGCTCGACGAGGACGACACGTACGAGCACTGGATCCACCGCGACGACCGCCACGCCGAGCTCTTCCAGGGCATCTACCACACCTTCCCCGAGCAGCGCTCCATCAACTTCAAGGACCTGTACGCGCAGCACCCGACCAAGCCGTACCTGTGGTCCTTCAAGGGCCGCAACGACGACCTCGTCGTGTTGTCCAACGGCTACAAGATCTCGCCGCTGCAGACCGAGGCGCTCATCGGCGCGCACCCGGCCGTCGCCGGCTGCCTCGTCTTCGGCACGGGCAAGCCGCAGGCCGCGCTGCTCGTCGAGCTCCAGGACCCCGTCGGCGGCAAGACGGAGCCCGTTCTCGACAGCATCTGGGAGGCGGTGCAGGCGGCCAACGTGCAGATGCGGCACAAGAACCAGTTGCTGCGCGACTTCGTCGCCTTCGCGGAGCCCGACAAGCCCTTTGCGCGCACCGACAAGGGCACCGTCAAGCGCGCCGCGACGCTCGCGCTGTATGCCGACTACATCGAGCGCTTCTACGCCTCGCGCAGCGCCGACCTCCCCGCGCTCGACGTCGACCTGAGCTCGCCGGCGTCCGTCCGCCACGACGTGCGCGAGCTGTTCGCCTCGTACCTGCCCGAGGTGCGCGACGCGCCGCTCGACGCGAATCTGTTCGAGCTCGGCCTCGACTCGCTCGCCGTCTTCGCGGCCATCAAGACGCTGCGCGCCGTCACCGGCCTGGCCGACCGCCTGAGCGCCCGCCAGCTCTATGCCAACCCCACGCTGGACGGCTTCTCCGAGGTGCTGCTCGAGCTGTCCGGGGATACTACGCGGACACACGCCGCCGAGGCTGGCGGCGGCGGCGGCCGGGCGATGACGGAGCTGCAACGGCTCGCGGCCAGGCACCGGGCGCGGCAGTCGTTCAAGCTCAACGCCATGGACTACGTCAACCCGAACCACTACATGGGGCTCGTCTTCTACTTCCCCCTGGCCGAGGGCGTCAGCTTCCGGGAGGCGTTCGACAACCTGTCCGCCGGCCTGGACCGCACCATGGACCTGATCCCCGCGCTGGGCGGCAAGATGGTGCCGTGCTCCGAGCACGAGATCGGCTTCGTCCAGGGCGACCTGTGCGTGTCGATTCCGCCGCCACGATTGGCCTCCTCGGCACACAAGCGGCTCATCTACAAGGACTGCTCCGGCTTCCTGCCCACGTTCGCCGAGCTCCGCGACAAGGACTTTGTGCCGTCGCTGTTCCGCGACGAGCTCATTCTCCAGCAGGACACGTTCCCGAAGCTGCCGGCCGACATCGTCATCGCGCAGGCCAACTTCGTCGAGGGTGGGTGCGTGCTGGCCGTGGACATGAACCACTGCTGCATGGACGGCATGGGCGTCATGATCGCGCTCAAGGCGTGGGCGGAGAACTGCCGCCTGCTGCAGGGCGACGCGTCGGCGACGTGCTCGTGGCTCGACCCTGACAGCTTCAACCACGGCCTCCCCGAGATCATCCACGAACAGGAGGGCTGGGCCAAGGCCCCGGAAGAGGTTGATCCCGGCACGTGGGGCTTTCTCCCCTTCCAGCCCGCCGAGGACGCCGCCCCGAGCAAGTACGTGCCGACCGGCGCGGACCTGCCGCCGGCGCCCAAGTTCAAGCTACACTCCGTGTGGCCGCTGCCCCGCGCTGAGCGCTGCATGAACACGACGGTCATGGAGATCTCCGCCGAGAACATCCGCAAGCTCAAGAAGCAGGTCCTGGCTGACCCCGAGACCAAGGGCTCGAGCGTCTCCGTCAGCGACATCGTGCAGGCCTTTTTCTGGCGGAGCGCGATCCGCGCGAGACGCCACGCGGCCAAGATTAGCGGGAAGCCAGACCTGGATTCAGACCACATCTCCATCTTGGAGGCGCCGACGGACGGCCGCGCCCACTTTTCGTCGCTGCTACCCGCCACCTACATGGGCAGCATGCTCATCATGAGCCGCTCCGTGCTGTCCGCCGGGGAGCTCTGTGCACCGGAAACTAGCCTCGGCCGCATCGCCCAGGTGCTGCGCGACACCGCGGCGCGCATTACGCCGTCGCTGGTGCATGACGCGTTCACGCTGCTGCAGTCGCTGCCTGACCACACGCGCTTTTCCACGGCGAACATGGGCCTCGAACACATGCACGCCATGATCTCGAACCTGATGCTGTTTCCGCTGAGCGAGGTTGACTTTGGCAGCAAGTTCTTTGGAAACAGCGGGTCCCCGGAGGCGATGCGGCCCCAGCTGGTGCGCGGGAACGGGCGGTTCCGGTTCTGGATCATCTCGCCGATGAAGAAGGACGGCGCCGTGGAGCTCGTCCTCGGAACCTTCCCGGAGGAGCTGGAATTTTTCAAGGGAGACGAAGAGTTTGGCAAATACGCCAAGGTTGTAGACGTTTCACCTTGGTAATGTAATAGACGTTTCATAGCATGCGAAAATAAAGGGAACGAGGAAAGCCGTAGACAGTGAGGGCTCCTCGTGTAAGTCGGATAGTAGAGGGCTTGCTGCAAGACAGGGTTTGTCGTGAAAAGCGCTAGATTGAGAAAATATATCCCATGAATATCCACTGTGATATTAGCAAAAAAAAACCCCGGCACACGGTTCCTTGTAGGATGAAACGGCCGCAAATAGTCCCCGCCGAGCTGAGGAAGAAAGAGGTCATACAAAGGGAAGGGGTGTGGTCGTTTGGCTGATTCGGCACACCCCCAGCCTTGTCGCAACGCATGCAATAGTACAGCTAGCGCGGCTCATCGCAAAAAGCAGTCCGGAAAAGTGAGCAAGTTTCGATGGCGCCAGGCGAGGCTTGCAGGATATTGAGCAAGTTTTTTTCGGATCAGACAACCCATTCGTCGCTCCACCGCCGTGCGTCTCGAGAAGCTGTGCAATTCGTTTGCCTGGCCCCCCTGGCCCTTGTCCTGTAGTTATCCTTGTGCTGTTCTGTTATGCCCCTGGTCAGCATTTTTGATCCATTCCCGTAACCTTCTCGCTCCGATAGGGTTCATAAGTGACTCCATCCCCAGCCCGTGTGCTTGGCTTGAGGCTCTCTTCGCCCTTTTCCTGCCCTTGACCATTCACCACCCTTCCTTTTCGCACATAATTCTTTTTTATTTTTGCTGGAGATACTCGACGCCATGTCCAAAGACCCCGAGGACGCCAAGATCCGCGTCGACACGGCCGCCGACAGCGCGGACGAGGCCGGCGGCAGCGGCAGCGGCAGCGGTACCGACGCTGAGGCCCAGGCCGGTGTGAGGAACATCGAGGCCACGACGGTCGCGTGGAACAAGAACACTCTCATCATCGCCTACGTCCTCATCTGGCTGACGTACTGCGTCGAGGGCATGCTGGCCAACACGACCAACGCGCTCACGCCCTACGTCACGTCCGCCTTCATCCAGCACTCGCTCACGCCGACCGTCGGCATCCTCAGCAGCGTCATCGGCGGCGTCACCAACCTGACCCTCGCCAAGATCCTCGACGTCTTCGGTCGTCCCCAGGGGTACCTCTTCTGCATCGTGCTGGCCACGGTCGGCATGGTCATGATGGCCGCCTGCAACAACGTCGAAGCCTACGCCGCCGCCCAGGTCTTCCAGATCGTCGGCAACAACGGCATCCAGTACAGCCTGTCCGTTTTCGTCGCCGACACCTCCACCCTGCAGAACCGAGGCCTCATGCAGGCCATCGTCAGCACGCCCAACCTCTTCACCGGCTTCCTCGCGGGGCCCATCGCCTCGGGTTTTGTCAACGGCCCCGGCTGGCGCTGGGCGTTTGGCATGTTCACCATTATGGTGCCCTGCATCACCCTACCGCTCTACGGCATCCTGGTCAACAACTTCCTCAAGGCCAAGAGACTCGGCCTCGTCACCAAGTCCGACAGCGACCGGACGCCGCTGCAATCGTTTCTGCACTACTGCCGCGAGTTCGACGCCATCGGGTTGCTTCTTCTCTCGGCCGGCGTTGCCTTGTTTTTACTGCCGTTCAACCTCTACACCTTGCAGGCACGCGGTTGGACCTCGCCTCTCGTTCTCAGCATGCTGATCATCGGCTTTTTCCTCATCATCGCCTTTGTCGTGTGGGAGAGGTTCTTCGCGCCCGTTACGTTTATTCCGTACTCGCTGCTGCTGGATCGGACTGTTTTCGGCGCATGTATCCTCTCGGCAGCACTCTTCATCAGCTACTCGATCTGGAGCGCCTTCTTCCCCTCATACCTGCAGGTGGTCAAGGGTCTCAGCATTGACGAGGCGACCTATGTCATGCAAACGTACTCGGTCACGTCCGTCGTCTTTGCCGTAGCCGCGGGCGCCTTGATCCACAAGACTGGCCGGTTCAAGCCTGCGACGCTGTTCGTGGGAGTGCCGCTTAGTGCGTTTGGTCTGGGCCTTCTGATGCACTTTCGCAATGCGGACGGCAACATCGGTTACATCGTCATGTGTCTCATCTTTATCGGCATCGCGGCAGGAACGATCATCGTATGCGACGAGATTGCCATGCTGGCTGCTGGAGCCCATCAGTACGTTGCCGTCTGCCTTGCCGTTCTAGGCATGTTCAGCAACGTCGGCGGTGCCATTGGCTTCACCGTGGCTTCTGCCATCTGGCAAAACACTCTGCCCAACAAGCTGCTCGAGTATCTGCCCGAGGAGGATCTGCCCAATCTCATCATGATTTATGGCGACATCAACACACAGCTATCATACCCAGTCGGTACACCTACCCGAGACGCCATCCAGCATGCGTACAGCGATGCCTATCTGCGGCTGCTGGCCGTGGGCACGGGTGTTTGGGCTTTTGGGTTTATCGGGGTGCTAATGTGGCGCAACATCAACGTCATTGGCATCAAGCAAGCCAAGGGGCACGTCTGGTAATTGTATTGGTGGGAAGGTGATGGATTAGAGGACGACTTGAGGATTGCGTTTGCAAAAGTACCAGCCTTTATGAAGGAGGAAGGCTTGAACAGGCTGAGATCCACACGGGCTGGCTGATTGGGCCACGACAAGTTGGGCAGATTTCAAAATACCCATTGATTGATAATATGATATACTGCAACAGGAATTGAAACAATTGTTACCCGATCCAATAACTTGATTGCATTATTGCGTTATACTGCCCAAGCGATTTTACCTTTATGCATACCTGGAATGCAGGTACCCAGGCGAGGTGCTGGACGCCCGATTTGGCTCCCAACACAGTGGAGTTTACCCCAGACGGCGGGCCACTTTCAGTGCTGTTGTCGCCTAAAATCTTGTCCTTAAATGGCCTGCAACGGCCCGCTCCACCGCTAAGGCCACTAAACCCCTTCATTAGCCTTATCTCTAACTGTAATTGGCGTGGCTTAGCCCGTGGCGTGCTGTGGCTCATACTAAACTTCACGCATCCCGCACCTCCTTCGCCTTCTCTTCTCTTCTTCTTCTTCACTCACAATCCACCATACGGGTCGCAAATCATCTCGCGGAGTCTGTCATCTTTTCATTAAGAAGGTATTCTTCTCGCCCGGGCCCACAAGTCAATCCCTTTTGTGCGTCATTCACTCTTTTCTCCCCCCCCTTCCCTCCTTCGCTCTCTTTCGCCGCTCTCTAGACAATTCACTCGAGAAAGCGTCTGGCGTGCGTGAATAGTTTCATCACCATTCTCGCCCCCCTTTTCATCTACCTTTCCCGATCCCATCCCCGACCGAGCCGTTCTTTTTCCCTCACCGACAACCCCCGCAGCCATGTTCAAGCGCTCGTTCCGTCACCACCATGACGCCGTGCGCGTGGACAAGTCCTCGCGGGTCAAGAAGTCGGGCCCTGTCCGGGATCCCACGAAGCTTTCGAAACTGCAAAGGTCGCTCACCGAAAAGGACGCCTTGCTGAACCCGCAGCAGCCCGCCGCGCCGCCGTCGCCCATCGTCACCCTGACGGTCGGCCGCGAGGGGCGTCTATTTGCGGCGCACGAGGACGTGCTCCGGCAGTCGCCGTTCTTCGACGCCGCCTGCCGGTCCGCCTTCCCCGATGCGCAGAGCCGGAGGATATCGCTCCCCGAGGAGGAGCCCGAGGTCTTCTCCGCCGTGCTCGAGTACCTGTACAAGGGCGACTACTACCCGCGGCTGGTGCACAACCGCCACCGCAACTCGTGGGAGCTCGAGGACCGCGCCGCCCCCGCTGGCGGTCTGCGGACTCCTTCCGCGTCCCCCAACCCCGACGCCGGCGGTCGGGCCTGCGCGGCCGTCCGCCTCGACAGCTTAGGTGCCGAGGTGCTCCGCGACACCGTTGTCTACTGCGCCGCCGAGCGCTACGGCCTCGAGGACCTCAAGTCGCTGGCGCTCCGCAAGCAGGGGCTGCAGGCCGGCATCGACGTTGCCACCATCCTGCGCTCCGCGCAATACGCCTACGCGCACACGCCCGACTCGGACAGCCGCCTGCGCGCGCACTACCTCGCCCTTATCATCCGCTGCCGCAAGACCTTCAAGCGCAGCGGCACCATGCAGGCTGAGATGGAGGCGGGCGGTACCAAGCTGTTCTTCGACCTCTTCGTCGCCATGTGCAACCACCTCGACGACGTCATTGACGTGAACCACCCTCGCACCCCAAGGACCGTCTGAGAGGGAGTCTGGTTGTGCTTGCGCGTCTGTCTAGGTTTCCGTTCACCAGTGCCATTTCTATCGCTCAAGGATTGCCAGATGCATTCGACTATCTCGAACCCCACCCATCGCATATCAAAATCAACTCGACAAAAAAAAGTATCACGAAGTTATGACTTGTGGCATTCATAGCGGGGCGTTGGCGTACTTTTGGTCTCCCTCATCAGATTGTCTCATTTCCGGCAGGGAGCTAGTCTTTCTGTTTGATTCGTCGTCGGATGTATCACGTTTGGGGTTTTGCTTCAATGGTTGAGATTCGAGAGCCGAGGATATAATGACGCCCCGTCTGTCCACAGGTAATACTTCCTCTGCTCCTTGTCCTTTTCGACAGTTGATTTGCGAATCGGATTTCCTGCGTCGTTTCTGCTCTCACGATTTGTAGTCTATGGCTCCTGATGATGGAGGCTCCGTCGTTCTTTGCGGCGATGGAGTTGTATCAATATGCTTGTTATGCCTACCCAACTCAACTGGGGGGGGGCCAAGATTGGTTCCGTCGTCCCCCTCCCTGCCAATTTACAAGAAAAATCTCAGTCAATTTTGCGCTGGACAGCAATTCGGAAAAAAAAAACCACGGCTTTCTGTTTTGCATTTATTGCATTTGTTAAGCTTTGTTTTGGTGCATTTTGGTAATGTTTCCTTGATTCTCCTGTTTTATTATTGGGATACCAAAGAAAGACTACAGAATGTCTCTCACAGCGTTGACAAGTCGGCGTCGGTTTCATGTCCCAGTTGTTTTTCACTCTTGGGGCAATTTCTGCTTTTCAACACCTGTCCACACGCAAGACCTTGCTTCTCGTTTCTTTTGTTCCGATTTCGAGGAGAAGCATGCTGCATGGCTCGAAAGGGCACCTTCACAGATAATATAAAAATTGAAAACCCGTGGACGGGAGGATATCGGCTCCGAGAGCTGACTCTCTTCTCTCCACACCAAGGGCTGCTGCGCAGTCCTCCTTGGCGGACGTCTTACCCAGGGTTCTTTTTTTTTTTGAGGTAATAGAAAATTGCCGCCTCAATTTCACGTATCAACCGTGACTTGTATCATACACGTTGTAGTTGTCCTCACGCCCATTCCACCGTAAAGTCCTCAAACTTGGCCTCCAGCTCGCCCTCGCCTCCCTTGGCCGGCCTCGCCACCAGCGCCGCGACCTCCAGCGTCCAGCCCGCGTACCGCGCATCCGCGATCCAGCAAATCTCCCGCAGCGGCGTCTCCGTCTCGCCGTCGATGTGGTACACCCACCAGCTGCGGCCGTTCGCGTCGCCCTCGGCGCGCACGCGCACCGTCACGCTGCGCTTGCCAGCTGCTACCTCTGCGGCACTGCTGCTGTCGACGGGCCCGACGCTCCAGTCGGCCCAGGTGTCGCAGCTCACGGTCGACAGCCGCGGCAGGCCCTCGTACAGCTCGACGCCCGTCTTGACCCATTTACGGGCGGGCTGCTGCTGGTCCGCGGCGGTGGGGGGCGTGAGGCGGAAGAGCAGCCCGGCCTGGTCGTATTGCTGGGCGTACGCGGCGGTGAAGGTGACCTGCGCGGAGCGGAACTTGGCCACGGGGTTGGACGAGTGCGTCTTGAAGGGGGCTGCGTGTTGTTGCCTGTCAGCGTTGGTGGTGGGAGTTGATTAGGTTGCGGGAACGTTACCGTTGAAGATGTCCTTGGCGGGAGGCTTCTTCCAGATGTCGGTGTCTGGGCCCGCGCGGATGGTAAACGGCTGTGCCATGGTAAAGCTGAAGTAAGATACCGAGAGAACTTGATTGACTTGATTAATGGTGTCCAGTCAACATTGGCCGTAGTTAGGACGGTGCCGTGGCTTATATAGACGGCGCGGGGAAGCAGCGCCCCGCTAAAGAAGCACGGCGATGTACTTGTCAGGCCGGGACTATACCGTCCCAGTTTTCTATTCTAGATTCTATATGCTTCAAGCTTAATCAGCTTTGAATTGAGGGCTAGATTAATCCGGAAAGAATCGGGCACGAGTTGGTCATGGTAAGCCTTTGACCCAAGAAGACACATGCTCCCGGCAAGGCGGGCCTCATCTCCGAGTAGGCCGTCGATGCGGAGCAGCCGTTTTGGGTCATCCCGATTCCAGCTGGAAGCATCCGCATCCCAAAAACATTATTAATGAAGAAACAAAACGAGTCATCAACGGCTATTTGAACACGTGTCTATTGTTATTGTATGCACAACACGTCGTGAGTTGTGCGGGACGTGCCATGTACTCTCACAAGGTCTTCTTTATTCAGGCCACACGACCCCATCTCAACATGCCTCCCACCTAGAGAGCCAAGAGGGCAACACCAGCAGCCACAGCCGCCACGCCAGCGCCAATCTCACCCGCCGCGTTGCTCTTTGGCGTGCTGCTTGCCGTGCTGCTAGCCGCCGCGCTCGACTTGGTCGCACCACCCGTCGTCGTCGTCGTCGTTGCCGCCCCCGTCGTCGCCGGCGCGCTGCCCTTTGTACTCGTCCTGGTCGCACCACCGCTGCTGCTGCCGGTGCTGCCGGTACTCGCTGGCGCCGAGTCCGACTCCGTCGCCGCAGCGCTCGCCACGCCAATCTTGCCATTCCTCGACGTCAGCACCACCGCGCCCGGGTTGCGCACCGTGTTTGCGATGGTCGTCACCGCGTCGCCACTGCCCTCGTCGGTGACCACGATCTTGCCCTGCGTCGCGCAGAACTCGATGGACACCGTGTACGTCGCGGAGCCGCAGAGGTCCGTCAGCGAGGCCGTCTTCTCGCCGGCGTGCGCGACGAAGCTGGACAGCTGGCCGAGGTACGACATCCAGCCGGCGGTGAGGCTGGCGGGCATGACGTCGGTGCACTCGTTGGGGGGGCGCGCGGTGCGCAGCCACGACTTGATGCTGGCGGGCGGCTGCACGGGCCGTCCGAGGTCGTAGTCGACGTCGCACGCGGTGGCGGCCCGGGCCTCGAGCAATGCGGCCGCTGTGGGGGCCGGGGCCGGGGCCAGGTCGGCGGTGGCTATGCCGGCCAGGACAATGGTGAATACAGCGGTGCGCATGTTGGAAGCGAGAGCGGTTGTAGTTGTGTTTGTGTTTAGTTCTGGTTCTGTGCCCGAGCTGCGTCTGTGTATGTCTTGGCGTGTTTGTAAGTGGTTGTATGACAGGGAAATGTCTACACCGGCTGGGACCAGGCATTTATATAAGTAAATACACATGGGGAGGCACTCTCGCATAGGTCGCCCTTTTTCAACGCGGTAACTAAAACATGAATATCATGCACGCGACAGAGAACAAACGGCGTCGGCTAAAAACTAAGACTTCAGCCAGGATCTTATTCAGCCCTGGCCCGCCAATTAAGCCTAATTTTGCGTAAAGCCTCAGTTTGCCAGATCCACCCGCACAACTCCTCAGGCGAATAATCGGACGTTGCGCAATGCCAAGTAGTCGAATGGGCCGAAAGAGGGTGGGGGGAAACGGGATTTGAATACGTGAACGTATCTCTTGAACGTGGTCTGATCTGTATCTGTATTATGTTTTATTAATATATCAGAACTTGACAATTGTCTCTCATCTCGGTGCCAAGACGGATCTCGGCTAGCGCGCCATCGTATTTCGCATTCATTCGTTCACTTTCAGCTCATAAAAGCCGTTCCACTCATCCGCCTTGCACCTTCTTTGTCGCTACAATCATCAAGTTACGCGGCGACACCTTGGCGTCGAAGACAGGCACAACATCGACTTCCTGTACGACCTGCCGTTCTTCCAAGAAGTGATAGCGATCCACGGCAATAACGCTCTCCACCACCTTGCCGCAGAGGACGCTCAGCGTCCACAGGATCGCGATGCGGCCCTCCCAGCCCCGGTACTCCTCCTCGTACGCCCGCAGTTGCTCGTCAGTCGGGCGCTGCGCAGCATCCACGTGCAGGCAGTCCATGGCGCGGTGCGCAAAGGCTGTAAAGCCCACCATGTCGCCCTTCCTGATGCCCCAGGCGGGACGCTCGTTTCCACTACCGGCGCTGATGCCGTGGTCGAAGAAAAGCTTTTCGAGCATCGCGCGGTAGAGGCGCCGGCGGCCAAAGACGGACGATACTTGGGAATCAGGTCGTGGCCAGTTATTCGGGGCCTGGCATCCTGTCATCAATGCCGTCGGGGTCAGCGTGACGTTTCTGTCGCGTAGAGCCTCGCTGATGGGAAACCCCGCTGGACACATGTCTGACCGTGGCACAATGTGGTTGTAGCAGCATCCCACGACGGCGAGGGCATCAATGCAGGAAATCTCGGCAAAGTATCGAATCATGTGCTCGGACAAATTGCCGCAGGCGTGCAAGCCCACCAAGATACACCTTTCTCCCGCTGACCACGCCTGGACCTTGTCTGCCAGTGCCGACGAGCCGTCAATCCAATGCACCATGTGCGTCAATCGACGGTTCGAGATGCCTAGAGAGTCTGTAAAGGCTTGAGATCCAGCCACTTGCGATTCGCTTCCATCAATCGCGAGGACCTGCAGTTCTGGGAAGAGATATGCCAGGCTGATGGATAGGTACCCTTGGCCGGAGCCCATGTCGACGACGTGTCTGATCCCTCTAGCTTCGCACAAATCGTGGATCAACTTCGTGGCGCGAGAGACCTCTGTGACTTTTTTCGTCTTCATGCGCGTCTGCAGGACTTCAGGGAGGATAACACTCTGCCCGGGTCGCTGCGTGCGGGTTAAAGCGAGGGCTTTGAGCCGCGCAAGCCAGTTGCCGAGCGACTCGGGGCGGCCAATTATCCCGCCATCCGTGTAGGCATTCTCATGAGCGTGAGATGTGTCGTCTTCGCCAATGCTATCAATGAGATTCTGCTGAGCAAGACGGTGGTCTGGCCAGCGTGACCACCACTCAGTCCATTCCGTTGGCAAGCGGTCCCAAGCGTTGTAGATCAATGCATCATTGACGTGGATGCCGCCCGTGATTTGGCGCACGAGAGTTGTGTCTATGAAGCTGCAAAGATCTTCTGTGTATTTTTCTAAGTCGTTGTAAGCGCTGGGCAGGTCTGGCATTGCTTTACGCTTGGTGCTTACTACCATGCAAGGTTGAGATTTTTGCTGTGTGTGGTGGGGCGTGATGTTGTTCTTGTGCCAGATTGAATCTATCGAGGACCCTCGAATAGCGAACGGATTTGATAGAACTATTTTCAATTCGACCTAACCTAAGAATTAAATTATCACATTCGCCAAGGTATTCTAGGTCCATATACGACGCGTTTAAAGTTGGTTAATACTGCTTCCAGCCCTGTAGGGTACGTACGCTCGGCGCTGGCCACAGTACGGGAAAGCACCCACACAGCTTACCGTATCCTCTCCACTCGCTGTGTGTAGAGATCTCGAGTACAACGAAAGCTGAAGATCGAAGAGGTATTTCGCATTGAAATTTATGGTTGGTTTTTTCCCCATTTCACCGAAAGATAGTGATGTCAAAAAACCACGCTCTGCCGGTTCGAACACGGCGCTTCGAGTCGGATGAGTCAGCAGGCTAGCTGCAGTACCCGCTCGACCAGGCTTCCAGTGCTTGGTGGGGTCACGCCCTCAGAGCGAAACAATTTTCTTCACCAGACAACCGTGTTACTCATCGACCAAGACGCGGCGAAGCCGTTTGCCGGGCTGTCCATCGTATCTCCATGCACATATTATTGTTTGCACTACATTTAGCCTTATTCACCGACTAGCCTTTACCCGATACACCTCACTTCAGGGACTGGTTCCGTGCAGGACCTCCAGCGCCATCATGTCGTCCATTGTGTCGCGGAAAGCCGGTCGCGGCGAACCAGCAAAGCCCAAGTTTGCACGCCCTAATCCCGTCAGAGCCATGCGCGAGCGCGAGGAACGTCGTCAAGCTGCCGCCGCCGCCGCAGGCCAGCAGAGGCAGTCCGCGGCTGCAGCCAACAAGGGTGCCGTGGCCCCTCCAGCGCGTCAGCAGTGTCCCAACAAGGCCTGTCCCAAGCCCAACGTCGTCGACGGCACCTGCCAGACCTGCGGTCGTGTTGCGGATGACAGCAACATCGTCGCCGAGGTTCAGTTCGGCGAGACCTCCTCGGGTGCTGCCATGGTCCAGGGTTCCTATATCGGTGCCGACCAGGCCGGAGTCCGTAGTATGGGCCCGGCCTTTCGCCGCGTCGGTGGCTCTGAAGACAGGGAAAAGAGCATCCGAGAAGCGCGTGGCCTGATGCAGGGATATGCTCAGCAGCTCAGCGTCTCTGAAAGCCTCGTGGCTGCCGGCACACAGGTCTTCAAGCTCGCCTCGGCGGCCAACTTCATCCAAGGCCGTACGCTTGCGAGCGTCGCCGCCGTCTGTCTCTACGCTGCGTGCCGTGCCGAGCCTCCCTGCAAAGTCATGCTGATCGACTTGGCCGATTTGGTGCAGCTCAATGTCTTCAAGCTCGGAAGAATCTTCAAGAAGCTTAACGAAGTCGTGCCGATTGGCAACGACGGCCTCATTCCCGTTTACCCTGAGGATCTGATCTGGAGATTTGCCACCAAGATGGAGTTCCGCCAAGAGACGGCCAAGGTCGCCGAAGATGCCGTCCGTCTGGTCAAGCGAATGAGCCGAGATTGGATGGTCATGGGACGACGCCCATCAGGCATCTGCGGTGCCTGCCTGCTCATGGCCGCGCGCATGCACAATTTTCGCCGCACCGTCCGCGAAGTTGTGTACATTGTAAAGGTCACAACTCACACCATTCAAAACAGATTACAAGAATTCAACTGTACCGAATCGAGTCAAATGTCGGTAGAAGACTTTTTAAAGCAAGATTTTCTCGAGAGCTCACACGATCCGCCCTCTTTTTACCGAAAAACCGACGAGTACAGGGCGCAGCAGGAAGAAAAGGCCAAGAAGAGGAAACGAAACGACCAAGCAAACGACGATGAAGAGGAGCCCGCTCCGCCGCCTGGACCTGTTGTTAGGACACGACGAGGCACAGATGCCGGCGCTGACCTTTCCAGCGCACCTCAGCTAAAGTTCCGTCGTGATGCTGACGGTTTCATCATCCCACCCCATCCCTCACAGATCCCGAAAGACATGCCATCTGTTCCTATTCCCGAAGAAGCGGCCGAGGTAGACGATGACCTGCAAAAGCTAGCCAACGAATTCGGCGATGCACTCGATGAAGAAATGGATCAAGAGGAAGCTTCCAGTTCGGGCAAGGGAAAGAAGAAAAAGGCACAGCTCCCTATCAACGAGGAATGGGAGCAAGACGAGCAAGACCTAGAGGGTCAAATCGAGGAAATATTTAACGATCCGCTTACATACGAACACGCTCTGGCCTACTCCAATGCTGAACAACGCGCGCGAATTCACTCCTCGTGGGCTCTGCAGCAACGGCCCCAGAAGGAGGTATCCATGTCTGTCGACATTGACGAAGATGAATTTGCCAACGATCCGGAAGTGCGCAACTGCCTACTCTCACCCGAGGAAGCGCAGATCAAGGAAATGATCTGGGTCAACCAGAACAAGGAGTGGCTGCGCCGGCACCAAGAAAAAGTGTTCCGCCGCAAAGTCGAGGCTGAACGGCCGAAGCAAACGCGTCGACGTAGAAAGCGCGCGCGTATTGGCGAAGGTCAGACAAGCCCGGCGAGCTCTGCAGCAGAGGCCGCGGTCAGCGTCGCCAAGGACCGAGCTTGGTCGAAGCGTATCAATTACGATGCCATCCGCAGCATCTTTGACGTGCCTGATGCCGGCGGGCTCGGGTCTGCGGCTACGAGCCGCAAGACGAGTCTGGCGGGTAGCACCCTCGGCGGTGACGACGATGAAGCGCCTGATGATAGTGACGCGGGCGACGACGACGCGCAGGACGAAGATGCGATGGAGCACAGCTACCGCGGCGAACACGAAGGCTTTGCTGAAGACGACGACAATCCTGATTTAGACGAGGCATATGGCCTGGAAGATGACTGATTCGAGCAGTTATGAGTGCCTGGTTTTGGGTACTGGATTTACTTGACAAGCTCGGTTGGCGTTTTGGAGCCACTCTTGGATATAGCTATGGGCAGGGTGATAATTCGATATCGACTAGGACTGTAATCTTAAGCAATGCGCTCCATACATAATACATACACATGACGATCATTTCTACACTTTCCCGCTGAACTAATATTCATTCGAAGCAATGCGAATCTTTACCTCGTTCCAGTAGCTCTCGCGCTTGGCCGCCCTCAGCCTCTTGCCGTACCAGATCATCGGGAGGAAGGTGCTGCAGATGGCGAGGGCGACGAAGGCGACGCTGATGAAGCAGTTCTGCAGGCCGAGGTGGTCGAGCCAGGGGGTGATGCCGTAGCCGATGGCGAAGCTCATGGTGTTGCGGATGAGGATGAGGGTGACGAGGGCGTCGCCGGAGATGTCGCGGAAGGAGTCGACGAGGTAGGCGATGGACAGTGTGATGCCGACGCAGCTGCAGAAGGCGAGGATGGCCATGCCGACGACAAGACCGAACCAGTGGATGCCATGAGCGGCCTGGGCATAATGTCAGCTTTCAAGTTACCAGTAGGGGAGCAGATTGTTAAGAAGGGATGGAGGTTACGTACCCCCACGCCCCAGAGGATCAGGCCGGCCGGGGTCAGCACAGCCGAGGCGGCGAAGAGCCAGAGGCGCTGCTCGGGCTCGTAGACGCCGCCGTTGCGGCGGGCGGCGCGGAGCACGAAGCGGTCGGAGAAGACGCCCGTGTAGGCGGCGCCGACGACGACGCCGACGAGGCAGGCGAGGTAGGACAGGCCGACGATGCTCGGGCGGAAGTGATACGGCGCGCCGCCGAGGATGACGGAGGCGGTGGCGTTGAAGACGTTGAACCAAATGAGGTACGTGCCGTACGCGAAGCCCGCGTAGAAGACGGTCGGCCAGCCGAGGTACCGCAGACTCTGCGCGGCGCGGCGGTGCATCCGGCAAGGCTGGCGGAACGCCCCGGCGCGGAAGAGCGGCAGCCTCTGGAAGAACGTCTTTGCCGGAGGGTATTCCACCTCACCGACCACGTCTTCCGTGCACGTCTCACCATCGTCCTTGCTCGGCACCACTGCCGCTCCCGCCGGCGGCTGACCCGGGAGGACGCGGACGTAGTTGGTCTCCTCGAGGAAGAGCAGCAGGAACAGGGCGCTGGCGGCGCAGAAGACGCCCATGAGGTAAAACGGCCAGCGGAAGCCGAGGGCGTCGCCGATGAAGCCGGAGATCACGGGGGCGAGGTAGTTGGAGCCGGCGAGGACGAGGGCGTACCAGCCCATGTAGGTGCCGCGCTCGTGGGCGAAGAAGACGTCGGTGATGGAGGTCTCGGGCAGCGACTCGATGGGCGAGGCGAGGAAGCCCATGACGACGTTGCGCGCGATCCACTGGCCGCCGCCGCGGGCGTGGGGGGACCAGAAGGAGACGGCCTGGCGTGTGTGTCAGTATGCGTGAAGGAGTGGCGAGGTTGCGATGATCGAGATGAGGTAGACGGGCCGCTTGCCGTACTGCAACGCAAAGGGCTGCCAGAAGAGCAGGGACCAGCCGAGGAGGAGGAACATGTAGCCCGTGCCGGCGTTGAGATCGCCCACTGCTTGCGTGTCAGCGACGGATCAAGGGAGGAGACAGGGTGAGTGGGTGACTACCAGTGACGCCGAGGGCACCGGACAAGGGCACCAGGACGGAGTAGACGACCGAGAGGGACATGCCACTAAACAGGACGAAGCTAGGATAATTGTTGTGAGAATGATGTACCCTCGAATAGCACGCGTGTGCAAACTCACACCATTAGACACGCGAGGTGCAGCCGCTTCCGCCCCGGCGACCAGTTCAACGGGTCGTTGGGGTCCGACGACGGCGTCGGCACCAGGATGATGTCGCGCTGGCCGGAGCCGGTCGCGTGCGGCGCGGCGGCCGTGTGCTCGGTGTCGACGAGGCGGACGGTGCCGGGAACCAGCGACTCGTCCAAGTCGGCGGTCAAGTCGCCGAGACGATGAGCGCCCATGGCTGTGATGTGTGAGACGTGGTTCCGATGGTGCGACGCAACTCTCAGGCCCGGACCGTGGGTGAACTAAAAGGTCGCGATGAAAGCTCTTGGCTCGCAAGAGGTCTGCGACGTGTCTGGTGATGGATGGGTTGCAGAAATGTCCGAAAAAGAAAAAAAAAAGCCGTTGTATCGGCAGGGGGTGCAGAGGTGCCCGGATGAGACGAGATAAGACAGGACAAGGGGAGGGGCCCAGGGTTGCACTGAAGAGGAGAGACTAGAGATTGGTGCGCTCCGCCATCTAGACGAGACAAAGTCAGGTAGAAGAGGGTTGTTAAGTAGTTTCTCATCTCTTGTCCACGGCCAAGTTTACTGTAGACTCTGTTATCTAGGGATGTGCTGTCTCAATCGGCCTCCCACCTCTACCCCGCGTTTCATTCCTCGAGCAGCCCAGCCAGCCAACCAACCGCGTTGCGGCGATATTCCGCCCGGGAGCTGAAAGCCGGGGGGCCGAGATGGAGCCGGGACGTGATTTCGTGGGGGTGGAGAGAGAGAGAGGGCCAAAAGAGTAACTAGATTGCAAAGCAAGGGGGCACGATTGGAGGTATTGACTTGGCAATATCGACAACGCCACACAGCGCCACGTGTCGGCATTTATTAAGCTTGTGGCGATTCGGAAATGCGGTACCAAGATTCCGTGGAACTTGGCAGGCAAGTTTGACAGATTGATCCTTTTGTGCGACGGGCGTACGGCATCTTATCTCGGTGCATGTTCATATATCTTTAGTGCATTGCTTGAGCGGGCATTGTGCTGGGTCAGGCTGATAGTTGTTATCCCTGAGATAACTAATGCTCCACAGAGGGTATCATGGCCGAGAATACAGGGTTCCAGGAGTGAGTAAATCGCCAACGGGGGCTTATACTTGGTAATTATACTTGATAAAGTTGTCTACATGTCTCTCCAAGTCAACCTTGGCGACAGGGTCAGAGAACCTTCTTTCCCAGTTAGTGAATAGCCTCGACTTTCTGCTTCATCCCCTTGTCTCATTTGTTGTTGGCGCAGCAATAGTCCCCGCCAGAAATAGATACCCTTGACAATAAACCAGGCATACTATATGTCGTCGGATAATTCAGCACCTGGCCAGGGTACAATAACATAGAACAGAATACCCTGAGCCAAATCTCACCTTCCGACACCTGGGCATATCCCTTGGACGCTTAGGTGCGGCCACTAACCACGAAACTAGACAGCCAGTTACAACTACCTTCATACAGCCAACTAACAAAAGTACCGGCACTATCCGCAATCACGATACCTTTCCCAATACGTGCATCTGACTTGTTACGGATAAATCCTGTCGCATTGCCAAAACATGGAAAAGGGAACTCGCAGCCTTTCGTCTGGGCTGCAATGCACCCATCATCCCTCCGCAGCCGGCGATCGCACAACTCAAACTGGCGTCGGGCTCATCAGACGGAGCCTTCATCCCTACTACTCCTTTATATCTTTGATTATCATTATTCATTATTACTCCTCTAGCAGGGGCAGAACTCTCTGAGCGACTCAACGAGAAAAAAAAAAACATCCCCAGTCCCAATGTCACCCTACGGAAGAATGACCCTCAAGAGGGAAAGCACCGTCGCAGGCCAATTGGACACCCCCTCTTCTCCATTACGGGACCTCCCTGAAGCCGCGTCAAGTACAAGTACAATCAGGACGCAGAGCCTGCCATGTCAATGTCAATCAGGCTGTCTTGACCTTGCAGTAGGGTAGCATCAGAATGGGCTGCATCTGGCCCATACCCTTGTAGGATGACGGATTACTACGCCGTGTAAAATCTCTGTCTCGTAACCGTGCATGTTCGACAGATTGTACCGGTACAGGCTCTATTCTTGTCGCCAGATCTCAACTCAAACCGCCGCCACCCAGTTAAACCTTTTTGTCTGCATAAAGCTGCATCAACTCGAGATCCCCTCACCAACCCCTCAGGCTCTGCGTCCGCGACATCCATGGCCGAGTAAGGACAGCGCGGCTGCTGCAGCCAACGGTTATACACTGGTTACTCCAAGGGGTCCAGAGATCATGGCAGGCGAGTCGTTGCAGACCGGCGTCTACGCCTGCATCATAATCACGCTCGTCGCGGCCACGGCCACGCTCGCACTGCGCTTCTACGCCCGCAGGATCAAAAACGTGCCGCTGTGGTGGGACGACTGGTTCGCCATCTTATCCTTTGTGCGTCGCTGCCTTCTCTAGATCAATCGTCGGGGGGCTTCTTGTACTAACTACTCCTTTCTCTCATCAAGTCCGGCTGCATCGTGTATGACGTCTCCGTCTTCTTCCGTGAGCGCCCAGACACCGGACACCGCCCCAAACACAACGCCTGCGGACTAACATGTGCTTTGCTCTAGTCATCACGAAAGGCTTGGGCCTTCATTTGGATGACCTGCCCGTGCCGGTGGAGGAGGCGCGGTACTACCAGCGCATGGTGCAAGAGATCGAGGAGCACGCGTACACCATCGCCATCGGCGCCGCGCAGCTGTCGCTCCTCGCGCTCTACTGGCGGCTCTTCCAGGCCATCACGCCTGCGCGACTCGCAATCTTGCTGCTCACGGCGCTGGCGTCGACGTGGTTCATTGTACGAGTAAGTTCAAGTCTGCCGGAGAAGCAGAAGGAAGGTGCCTGGTTGACGATTCTGCTGCTTACTGTTGACTAGATCTTCGTGGCCGTCTTTCAGTGCTACCCGCCTCGCTTTTTCTGGGACAAGAGCATCCAGGGGAGATGCACCGTGAATCCGGCCCAGTTCTTCCTCTGGTCGGTGTCGACCCATCTGGCTCTGGACTTGGCCTTGATCGCCCTTCCGGCAAGTACGTACATCATCCTCCAGTCACCTCTGCATTTGCAAGAAAACCTAATCAGCTCCCAGGCCAAATCAGCCGCATGTCCCTGCCCCTTGTGCAGAAAGCAGCCATTCTCTGCATGTTCATGTTTGGCTTCATGTACGCCGTCCTCTCTCCACCCTGATTGCAGCTTGCCCGCTCACCGACTCTCTAGGGTCATGATCGGATCCATCATGATGCTCGTCGTCTCCTCCAGCTACGACTCCTACGCCGACGACACCATGTGGAACTGCACACCCGTCGTCGTCTGGTCCGCCGCAGAAGTCCACCTCAGCCTCATGACCTGCAAGTGTCCCGATCCCCTCCGGAGACCAAGACTAACAAAGCCCCAGGCTGCCTCCCCATCCTCCGTCCCATCGTCGTCGCCTTCGGCGGCTGGTGGAGCCAAAACTTCTGCTCCCGCGGCACCGGCCAGTCGTCCTCGTCGCGCAGCGTCCAGATGGGCCGGTTGTCGCGCAGCAGCAGTGCGCGCAGGAGGAGGAAGCACAGGATGGCCACCGCCGCCACCGACTCGACCTGCCAGCTGGCCACGACGACGACGACGAGCGAAGCGGTCAACGAGACGACGTACATATACGGCCAGGGGTCCGGGCCGGACACGGTGGTCGAGGGGACGCGCAGGTCCGAGGACGAGGATGCGCTGGAGGCCGGGACGGCGGCCGAGGCGGGCATCAAAGTCAAGTATGAAGTGACGATGGATTTTACCGAGTCAGAGGATGCGGCCGGATCTCGCGGGAGATGCGATACCCATTGACAGCATAGTAAAAAATTGCATATAGACTGTCGGCGGTTGAAATTTCAGACTCCATTCGCAAATACAGCTGCTTATTGATTTGATACCACTGCATCTGTCATGATTTTACTACTGCTTCACATCCAAATGCTTTCCCAGCAGCTTCAGCGCCGCAAACAACTCACTGTCGTGCTGTCTCGGCGCCACCACCTGTATGTTCACCGGCGCGCCCTCAAAGTCGCCGCCTTCCCAGAACCCGCGCACCTCCTCGCACTCCCCGCTCAGCGGCTCACCCTCCGCGTACCGCTCCGCACCCCTCGCGCCCGCCACCACCGGCGTCGGGAGCACCGCCGCCGGCATGTCCAGGTAGTTAAACAGCACGCTGTAGTTCCAGTGCTTGGCCGTGCCGTGCGCCGCCGCCGGCCCGCAGAACGCCGGGCACACCAGCACGTCCACGTCGTGCGCCGCCCAGTGCGCCGCCCAGTCGTACCAGAACGCCTCCTTGGCGCGGCTCATCGCCAGCAGGCCCTCGGTCGTCGGCGTCGGCGACGCCTCCGCGTCGCGCACCACCCACTCGGACAGCGGCAGGAGCGGCTCGCCGGACTCGGCCATGGCGCGCCGCATCGCGTCCACGCCGTAGGGGAAGTACGCGAGGCGCGTGTTTCGGACGGCCTCGGCAGTGCGCAGCGGCGCGAACGGCTTGACCTCGACTTCGGTGCCGGCGGCACGCAGTCGGGACTCGGCCCACTCCAGTGCGCGCACCACGGGTGGCTGCGGTCGGATGGCCCCGTCATGCAGCATGAAGCCAACCCTGAGCGGACGACCACCGGGCGGCCAGGCCGTGGCGACGCCCGTCCACGGTGTGACGCTCAGCCGCGGATCGACCCGCCACGGGCGCGCCGCCGAGAACACGCCCATGAGCAGGTCCATGTCGCGAAGCGAGCGCGCCATCGGGCCCCACGTCGCCGGCACCGTCAGCTCCGCCGCCGTCGCGCCGCCCGGCAGCCCGTCGCGCCTCGGCAGCACGTTGCTCGTCGGCTTGAACCCGTAGATGCCGCAGAATGCCGCCGGCACCCGGATGCTGCCGCCGATATCGCTGCCGATGCCCAGCGCCGCGCCCTTCATCGCCAGCAGCGCCGCCTCGCCGCCGCTGGACCCGCCCGCCGTGAGCCCCATGTTGTGCGGGTTGAGCGTGCGACCGTGGTGCGACGCGGACTCGAGGTGCATGACCAGCTGCGGCTGGTTCGTCTTGCAGAAGAAGACGGCGCCGGCGGCCCGCACGATGGCTATCGCCTGGGAGTCGGCCTCCACGGCCCGCTGCGAGCTGATGCTGCCGACGTCGACGTGGTGCCCGGCGAGCGGCATGTGCGCCTTGACGCTGACGGGCACGCCGTGGAGCGGGCCGACGGTGGTGCCGGTGGCGGCGAGATGCGCGTCGAGCTCGGCGGCGCGCGCGAGCGCCTCGTCCATGAAGAACTCGGTCAGGCAGCAGGTGAGCTGGTGGGCGAGGACGGCGCGCTTGCAGAAGGCGATGGCAACCTCGACGGCTGTGTAGGTGCGCGCGGCGAGGGCGGCGGCCAGGCCAACGGCGTCGTGGTCCTCGGTGATGGAGAGCTCGCGCGGGGTCAGCAGGCCGCAGGAGCGGGGGACGGAGGTGACATTCTTAGGCGCGGCGGAGATGGCTTCTTGAGACAAGCGCAGGGCGACGGGAATGCTGTCGGCGAGGCGCTGCTGGATCGCGGCTCGCTTGCGCTCGTACTCGTCGGAGCCGCGCGGCATCGCGGGCTCGACGGTTACCATTGGGAGGGCCGGTGCAGTCACTGTCATTATGGATATCGAGGCCAGACTTGGCAGGACGGATGAAGATGTGATGAGGTAGATAAATCGGGAAACTCGCCTCTTATATGGGTACGATCTGGTTCATGCGGGTTGAACACGACCCCACGTCCCCGGTGTCCAAAGTCTCGAATTGCCCTCCCCGTCTTATCAAGGCCAATGCGACGCTTCTCTCCGCTCCGGATAGCCCCAGCAACTAACCCTAGTCTGGGGCGCTATTCTACCAGGAAGAGATAGTCTCCGTGATTAATTAATTGATGATACATCCTGCACTGATGAATATGCAGTTTATGTCAGCGGTGTTTACTCGATCGGAATCGATTCCGAGCCAACTATCGCATAGAGGGCGTCGCCGCATAATCGCTTCGGACGAACGGAGCGCTGTTCTGGGCACAAGACAACAACCCCAGAATACTACGCAGATACAGAGTAATGGACCTGCCTTGCATCAAAAATAGTTGCAGTGCCGACATCAGGATGTCCGGAACTAGATCGGCGAGTTGCACATGGCAGAGGCGCTGAAAGGTTGCTACGGCAGCCAGTCGACCTTATCATGTGTAGAGCCGAACGACGGCATGGCGCGGATAGTGCGGGAGGAGGGCACATATTTGGCGGCTAAGTAATTTGAAAGGAATTTAGAAGATGTCGGATAGGATTCTCTGGAATACCTAGGCAAACTCGTCCGGCCGAAGCCATTTGTGCTAGATACTAGTAGATACGCGAGGGACGAGAAAAACTTCATGTTGCATAGGTCGGTACATACAGGTTACGCATGGACCAGTTTTGATTAGTCGATAACTTGGGTTCGCAACAAGGTACAAATCAAGGCCAAACCGCGTCAATTGAGTGATACCAGACTTGTACCCGGTGGGCGAGGAGCTCGTTTTTTCTTCTTCTGCAAGCAGAAGAAGCAATTATGGCAATATAAGAAGTGTTACGAAGAACACAGAAGGCAATCCATCTGTTGCGTCCCACAATAAATAGCTCGGCTTCTCCAGTGTCCAGGCACTGAGCAGGAATGGTGGCCTCTCATTGGCCAAAATTGCGAAGGGTCCACGCGCCAGCTTCGGTTCCTGACCGACTTGCAAACAGGCGCGTTTTCGAAGAATCATCACCAAGAGCAGTTCGAGATTGCATCCTTTATGGCTGCAACAATCATCCTGTGACCAACCAGATCCATCGTACCTATTACCGACCCTCCGGGGATGTACCAACAGTCTGGCGCTTATTAGTCCATTCAGCCACACCCTCCTAATCATCCTGCTACTCACCGCACTTCTCATCGCGTCAGACAGGTTGAACACGCTGGACGGGCTGGACTCGCGAGACACAGATCCTGCCGCATCTTGCTTTATATATCCCCCCTTATTCCTCCCAAGATGGCCTGCCATGGCGCTACTGAGGAAACGGAAGCAGCCAGCAGACGATACTCTACAAGACCTGCTCCCACCACCCAAGAACCCCAGGTCTTGCCGCGCAGTTCACAGACCTTCAGTTCTCAGACCTTCAGCTCCCAAACCTGCAGTCCCCAGGCATTCAGTCCTCAGGCCTTGGAACCACCCTCCCAAGTTCTACGACCAGCTGCCCAAGGTTTGGCTTACGCCTCTAGCCTTGCAAGAACTCGACCGCCGTAAGGAAAGCTCGTATCTAAGCCTACAGCCAGGCTTGCATCTCGAGCTGCCAAGCTTCCTACGCTCGATAGGTTTGCGAGACGTGGCGGTCCAGATCTTCGCCATCTTCAAGGGGTATGTATGCCTTCGCCAAGCTACCTACGCGCGCGGAGGGCTTTCTTTTGGAAATGGCCAAAATCGGGTCCTGCCTATCGAGACTATCAGTTATCTGACATGGCTCACAAAAAGCACCCAAAATTTTGGAGGCTTGCCAGATGGTTGACAGTCTTGCTAGAATGGACTGTCAACTTGCAAAGAGGGGACGTGCCCCTTGCTCTGTCCAAAACAGGGCTCTCGCGCGTAGGTATTCATTCATCAGCTACTATCAGCTAACCATCTTGAATAATTCCCAGCTGCCACCGACGTTGACCACACAATGGCCCCTTCCAGCCAGCGAACAGAGTTGACCGAATTGACTGCTGCATCCATCAAACGCTACAACGCTTACGACGGTAACTTCAGAGAGATTTGCACAGTTCATGAAATTTACCCTCCATTACACATGTTTGCGGATGGCCAGCAACCGCCCGAGCCGGCCAATCTAGATGAAATTCAGCAAGCTCTCAAGGCTTCAAGGCGGTCCCTTTCACCATCCATTGCTTCCAAGGCAGACTTCCAAGACTTCCGACTCAAAAACACGACCAATTCAGAAGGTACAATATTGAGGAAGATAGTCCCAATCATCGCTGCCAATGACGGCGACATTCTAAAGGAGGGACAGATTCCATTCACCAATCTGGCCTCTATAACTAACAAAGCTACTGTGAACCCATTCCCCGATTTCTTTACGGAGCCCAGCGCGACGCTGTGGATCAAGAAGTTAAAGAAGCACTTGATAAAATTATCATATCGACAAAGAAACACGGTGTTCCTATGCACCTAACCTATTCTTAGAAGCAAAGAGTTCCTGCAAGGTTCTCGACATTGCTGAAGGGCAGGCAATGCTTGATGGCGCGCATGAAGCGACCATTATGCTGGCCTTACAGAACCACCTTCTAGGGGCACCGGTATACGATGGCAATGCATACACGTTTTCCGCAACCTTCCAGGGCGGAACCCTGGCCTTATATACCCACTATCCCACCCCCCCTGCCAGACCTGGCCAGAGGCATGGCTGTCGTATGCATCAACTGAACGCTTACGCGTTGACAGGTAACCAGGAAATTTGGCGGGAGGGCATCGCAGCATTCAGGAACCTGAGGAAACTAGCCAAAAAGTACCGCGACCAGTTTATCGACGTGGTCAATGCAAGGGCGCGCGAGCGTGGAGATGCTCTCGCAGCTGAAAAGCAGCACGACAACGAGGTCCAAACCGGAGTACGCTACCACGCACGCCCCCATCGCCCATATCCCCCAATCGGCGTAAGAAGAGTCGGTATACCAAGGAGTAGCCAAGCTGGCCTAATGCTTGCGAACACCAGTATCCGGAGTCTCGGTACCCATGGTATCTTTACCATCCTTGCTTCCCTTAGTATCCCTAACATCTTTGCTATCGTTAGTATTTTTAGTATTATGAGAATCGTTAGATCTTCCTCCTCAGCCAGGACGCTACTATACTCGAAGGTGAGGATGAGGGGCCTCCTCCGCATCATGCTAACATTGGCAGATGCATGCACATAGCTGCAGCCTCGGCACGGTGCGCCCAATCAGATACGGAACATGCAAATAATCACCTACACGAAAGCGGACAAGATGCGCCTAGCGGCATGTGCAGCTGCAGTACAGATGTAGTATTACGATACATTGCTTACGGATACTATCTACTCTCCCTCTACGAATAGTCAATGCCCACACCGACCGGCACGCCAAAGACCTGCTCATCCGTCACGGTGCCACACTTGGCCGCCGAGATGGACGCGTCCTTGTTCTCCTGGAGACACAACCCGCTCTTCTTGTGGATCACGTTTCCGGACACCGGGAACCACCAGGTGCTTCTGCAGCTGCCCTTGCTCGTCGCGACAACCCCGTCCTTGCTGCCGAGACAGCTTCCGGAGTTCAAAAGGCTGCTGACCCGACCCGACTGGTCGACCGTCCAGGTCTGGCCGTCGGCGGCGTTGCACGTCGCCCACGTCGCCGCGCCGGAAGCGGAATCCGTCAGGCACTTCATGGACTGCGTGTTGAGGATGAGGCCCGTCGGCACGACGTTGAGCTTGTCACCCGAAATGCGAAGCACGGCCGTGCCGTGCGAGGGCACCTGGCTCGCCGTGAGGCCGCCCTCGCTGGCCTGGACGCTCCTCGTCTCGCCCGTCCAGAGGTCTCTAACGTGCAGCGTCGCGCCGCTGTCAGGCCGCACGCCGATGCGCGCCCACGACACGGCCAAGTCGGCCGCCGCGTTGCCCTTGTTGAGCACCGTCAGCAGGCGGTCGCCATTGACCAGGCTCTTGGTCAGCACGTCCCACTGGTCGTCGCGGCTGACCAGGCTGGCCTGCTGCACAAGGGGGTCCTGGTTGACGGCGACGAGATCGCGGTTGGTCAGGAACGCGAGCTCGTCGTCCGTCAGATTGGGGATGTCGGCGCTGATGATGAGCGGCGCGGAGAAGCTCGCCCACAGCGCGAACTGACTGCGCTTCTCGTCGAGGGTCAGGCCCGGGTGGTCGGCGATGATGAAGTCCGGGTCATTGAAGAAGCCCGGCTGCTGGAAGCGCGTGGTGCGCACGTTGAAGCCGTAGTTGCCCATGACGCTTGACCAGGCAGGGTCCGAGCTGTACGTGGCAATGTCCCACGAGTGCCGGGCGAGCTGCCCGCCGGCGGCGGCCTGCATCATGGTGGTGTACCAGCCGGAGAGGCTGTCGTCGTCGCTCGCAAAGTACGCGGGCGCCGAGTTGGAGAAGACCACCCTGCCGCTGGTCTTGCCCTCGTTGAACTTGGCCATGCGGTCGATCCAGCCGCCGTAGACCTTGGCGTAGTCGTCGACGTAGCAGCCGTCGAGCTTGAGGTACTCGAAGCCCCACTCGTAAAAGTCGTGCAGGTCCTGGTCCTCGTGGCCGAGGGTGCCCGGGTAGTCGGCGGCGCAGGAGAGCGTGCCGGCGTCGCTGTAGATGCCCGGGACGAAGCCCTTGGACTTGAGGTGCTCGGTGAGCCAGGGCATGCCCTGCGGGAACTTGGTCGTGTCCCAGACCATGGATCCAGTGGCGTTGCGCTTCGATGTCGACCAGGCGTCGTCGAGGTTGATGCGGTTGTAGCCGGCGGCGAGGAGGCCGTTGGTGGACATGGCGGCGGCGGCGTCGACGAAGATGGACTCGTTGATGGCCGTCATGAAGCGCGCCCAGTTGTTGAAGCCCATGGGCGGAAGGGGCAGGGTGTTGGGGTCGGGCTTGGCAGCCGCGGCCGTGCCGAGGAGGCCGGCGGTGAGGACGGCGGCGTCAGATCTCATAGTGCCAAGAGGTAGATGTGTCTGCAGGTGTCCACAGTTGAGTGAATGATGTGGCACGATGCGGGGAGATGGGATACGGGGGAACAGACTGAGGTTAATATACTTGTACATTCATCTCGTGTATCGAGAATCCGCCCACACAATGCTGCTTCGGGCAAGTGGCGGGGGGGAACAAACGATGCGACGATCGATTGATATAATAGATATCTACTGCAACGTTGCAGCTTTCCAGCCAATGCGTATCATCAGTAACCACTTTTTACAACCAGATCAAGAATCGGCAGTTGGGGTCCGTTGCGCTCCTTCCAGATCGAGAAGGTCAGCCAAGCCGGCGCCTCGGGCACAGCTACGGGCTGTGGATCCCGGATGTGGCGACGTCAGAGGTCCAAGACGTATACGGGCGGCTATGACCAATAATTATTGACTCGAAGATATGTGAATTTACGCAACTTCTATTACTCCGCACTCCCCTGCCCCGCGCCGCGCCACCCGACATCGAGGTTTCATCGATGTGACGTTCTCATGCGTCGATAGATAGGGGTTCACCCCATCGGTAAGGTTGGGTTGTATTGGGCGGGGTGTGTAGATCCAGGGTTGAAATGCTGGGGAAAGGGGAACTGGCACTCGGAAAGTGAGGCTAGCTGGTTTATGCAACAAAAAAAGAACTTCATGTTCTCGTGCGGAATGGTATTGGCTTCCGCTGCTCAGCCAGATACCGGACCAAACACCAGCACGATAGATCTTCAGGAGTCTAGGAAAATGATGTAGATGAATATTTCGATTTTTAGAATTTTTGTCTGATTCTATAATCAGGTGCAATGAGCCCTGTTAAAGCTGTCGGTCAGTAAAGCAGAAACAAAAAAACAACAGCATCCCAACATCAAAAATGGCCTCTCTAGGGCAGGTGTAAGTAAATGCCAGCCACACAGGCCAGCCACGTAGAAGGAGAAACGTTCCAGTCCGTCGTCCATCGCGACACACGTGTCGATCACTCGTACGGATCCTTGAAGAAGATGACCTGAATGGTAATGTCATCGCGCACGCTTCGACTCAACGGCGTCGTCGTCGTCACCAGCCCCTGCACGATGCTCCTCCTCGTCCCTCCCAGCGCGTTCCTCAACAAACACACCGCCGCATTATCCAAGTCCTCCCCAACCGCAAAGTACTCCGGCGTCGCCTTGTAGCTCGCCCACCCCTCCTCATCATACTTCCAGTTCGCCTCCCTCACCACCTGCCCTCCCTTGTTCCCCTTCCTCCCCTTCCGCGCCTGCAGCCACTGCGCCACGCACGCCACCGCGTCCTCGTTGGAAATCACGTCCCACAGCCCGTCCGACGCCATCACCACGAAGTCCTCCCCCTTGACCCCGCGCGTCGTCGTCACCTCCGGCCGCGCCGTCAGGTACGGCGGCGTCGCGCTGGCCTTGCGCGGCGCGTACCCGGCGAACCGCTTCTGCAGCCGCTCCACCAGCGCCTGCTCGTACTTCCACCGATGATCGCCAAACGCGCGCGTCACCGCCAGCCCCATCAGCCGCCCCGTCTTGTCGTCCAGGATGGCGCTCTTCTCGCCGGGGTGCGCCGCGTCCAGCCGCGCCACCTCGTCCGCGTTGAAGCCCGTCTGGTCCGCGGACAGCGCGCTGGCCGCGTGCGTGCCGGTGGCGGACGACCAGGAACCGAGTACGGCGCGGGAGTCGCCGGTCACGGCGGTGCGGAGCGTGGAGGTCTGCGTGTCGTAGACGGCCATGAGCGCGCAGGAGCCGGCGATGGCGGGTGCGAGCGCGGACATGGCGGCCGCGTCGACGGGGGAGGTGGTGTCGGTGACGGCGGCGCGGCCGGCGGCCATGATCTGGTCGTCGAGACGGCAGAAGGCCTGCTGGATGGCCGTGTCGACGGCGTCGCCGGCGGCGTCGGGCGCGAGCGGGGCCAGCATCGCCGACACGTACGGGATGAGCTTGTTGCGGAGCACCTCGGCGCAGGCCCAGCCGCTGCCTAAAGTCAAAACCGGGGTCTTCCTCACACAGTATGCATGTTTTTGTTCACTCACGCGTGTCCATCATAAATACCCGCGTAGACCGTCTTGGCGCCCCCGACGCCCTCGCCGACGCCCACCGCCCACCGGTCCTCGGTCGGGCAGTTGCTCTCGAAGCGCACCGCGTCGATGCGTCCCCTCGCGCCTCCGTGGCCGTCAAACCGGAATGACGTTGCCTGCTGACGGATCCGACCCGCCACCTCCGCCCAGTCCACCACCTTCACCGGCGACCCGGGCGGCCCGTCCGCGTCGGCGCCGGAGACCTCGGGCAGCTCGTTGTCGCGGCGGCCGCGTTGACGGTGGCGCTCGGCCACGGCGACGCGCCGCTTGCGCGAGACGTACCACAGGAGGGCGCCGCCGGCCACGGCGAGGCCGATGAAGCGCGTGCGGCGGGTGAAGCCGGGCCCGTCACCGCTGCCGGCATTGCTGGAGTACGGCTGGGTGCGGGCGAGGCTGGGCAGCAGGCGAAGGGGGGGGGTGTTGCGTGCGTGGGGGGCGGTGAGCAGCCGCCGAGTGGCGGGACTGCATCGATACATGATTGTTTTGTTGTCTTTGGAATGCCAAAAAAAAAAAAAGTTCAAGAATCGAAAACGAACTTGCTTCGGAGGCAATAAATAAGTCGACGCCGTTCACCCCTCAGGCGATGATGCTAGACGAAGCCTTGCATTTGCCGTGGCACGCGACAGGTCCGCTTCCCCACCGCCATGGCCGGCCCGCCTGTCGCCTTCCAGATTCATGCTAGAAACTGGAGTTGCACAGCCTTGATGGTGTGGGCTGAGCAGACCTGAGCTAGGAGAAAATCCCGCTCTATTCATTTCATTATAGGGCATTTATCATGTTTTTATTGGTGCGCGGAAGGGCCGCGTATGCACCGCGCGGAGATTGATTTGCGCACGATGGGGAGTCGGCTACGAGATCCGAAAGTACGGTTACGGGTTTTGCACCAACGTGACTCATGATCAGCTGGCCGACTATATTGACCTTATCAGCAGTCTTCTGTAGGCAGAGGCATTTTCTCTTCTATTTAATCACTCGCAGTCAATTGTCAACCTTGTTAAAATTGAGTTCGCCAGAACAGTTCCCTGTTGCTTGTCATCGGGTTGTGTCGGGCGTCGAGGTACATCTATCCTTGTTCCGGACAATGCAATTGTTCATATTGGCTGAAAATTGACTTCACTGGTTCAGTTAGCTTTCCAAGGAGCCAACAGAGTTATAGAGGGTTCAGCCCAGGGGTAGTACACTCACCGCCTGCCCTCATCTACAACATGTTAAGATGCCCCAAGTCGCCAACAAAAGGACCGGGTGCCAGTGCCAGAATATTCCTTGGCAATTTCGTCATCCGACCTTGTTTATTTAGCCCAGCCCAAGTGTGAGTGATGAATCCCAGATATATAAACCTTTGTAGCTTGCTGAATGCGCAACCTGCGCTCCGCCGTCTTAACCTTCCACCTAGACTCCTACCCTAGAGCATCCCATGGTGAAGCCCAGCCGCATCCATTTCTCGGCAATATACATGGCCCAGCGCTCTGTCTGCAGTTGCCCATCTGCAAATTGTATACACACAGCAGAGACAAAGGCGGTAAGTAGCCTGACGCATATACGGTCGTCGTAGGCGATGGCTGCATGGCTGCAAATTGTCATCTGCAGCGGCTGCCCAATCCAGAGGCCATCTTCTTTTCCATACATAAACTGTCTAGCGGTACATATTAATGTTGTAGGAGTTGAACGACTATAGCGAAAGGCTCGCTAGGACTTGAACTGTCTGGAGCTTGCAACGCTCTGCGTTGTCGCATCACCCAGTTGACGAAGCCAGTCCAGACTACACCCAAGTTCAAACTCAACTTTCTACGAAAGAACCCTCTTAGTCCTCCTGCAGTAACTATGTGGCTTCAGTTATACTTTTAGAATGTACGTAATCCATTGCTTTCTGCAGTCTCACTTACCCCGCACGTGCGCAGTTGATCGCAGCGTGCCACACGTACGTCCATTTCAGGCTGCCAGCGACTCGTCCCATTCACATTTCTCGTGTACTAACAACGGCTGGCGTAAAGGAAAGATCGATAATGCACCCGCACTCTGCTACATATGTCCTTCTGCTTGCAACTACCAATAAAATACTACACGTCGCTGAAGTCGCAGCGATTGTTCCACATGATGCGGGTAGTTACATGGCCTGGTCCAATTGGCTAAGGTGGACTGGACCGGCTCGCGAGACGTTTAAGAATGGGACGTTGCAAGTGTAGTAATACAGAGGAAAGATGCTATTGTGTCATTAAATAAAGGAGGTAGATGATAAATGAAACGAGGTACGGATAATGGGTTGAGTACGTGTGAGTGCAGCGTACTGTGGCTAGTGGGCACAAGCCACCCAGCCACACAGTGATGAAATGGAAGAGAGAAACACAGTACAGGATACTTTGTCTTCCACCATCAACAGATCGGCTTCAGACCTTTGGCGCCGCATTCAACGTGAGATACCATCCGAAATTGACTACAAGAAAGCTCTCTTCATCGCAAGGGCTGCGCCATCGTCCCCAACTCTACCCTCTTTATCCAGAGGTGTCCATCACGGCCATCAATAGTTGATCCAGTTCAGCCACCCAAATTGCATCCACTCATGAAGCTGCAAGCGCCAGGGTTATTCCGATGATATAGAAAACGATCAGCACGCAAGGCCGAAGGCCGTCTGCGGCCATGGAAGCAGTCGGGCATCATGCTTATCACAGCGGCCCAAATTGCTAGCTGCACGAAGTTCCCGAAACGAGCCTGATCAACAACGTTCCCCGTTGCATCATGTTATGTTATTCTCAACCTGCAGCCTGTCATAAATGAGGGAACTCCGAGCTGAAAGAAGACATATCTTTCGCCGCCCACCATGTGACTGCCATTCAGCCGTATGAGCGGTTAATCTGCCCCCTCCCCGTCCTGCGCCAGCTTCTCTTACTTTAGAAATTCGAGTCAATCCGTCCTGAATGCAGTACAACTAATAATCTTCCAAAGCCCAGCGGGAGAGTCGCTCTTGACGCACCATGTCGACCACAGAAAGCGAGCTGGATGGCCAGGACGATTTTAGCCCCCTCGCGCAGCCTGATCTGTCGAGACATGCCAGCTTGAAAGACGAGTACTTGCGCAGGCGACATCCAGGAACTGGTAATTGGTTTCTGGAATCTGATGCCTACGGCAGGCTTCTCAACGGCGAATCGTACACCCTCTTCTGTACAGGACACCAGGGCGTTGGAAAGACAATGTTATCGAGCATTGTAATCGACGATCTTCTTTCTCGATCCTCGAGGCACCCTCATGTTGCCATTGCATATCTATACTGCGGGCTTGAGGATTGCGAGGATCATAGCGATGAATCTCTGCTCAATATTATTTTAAGGCAGCTGGCCGGACCCAATCGAGAATCTTTGGAGATTTCACCAGATCAATTGTTAGATGAGATTCATTCTGTCGCTCGCCAGTTTCAACAGGTTTTCCTTGTCCTGGACGCACTTGACGAGTGTCCTGTCTTCGATGAGCTAATTGAAGCAATTTTTACGCTCCAGGAAAGTTTAAACTGGAACCTTTTTGTTACTTCAAGAGACTTGCCGATCATCACCGAGATGTTCTGCAACTGTGAGCGATTCGAAGTCCGAGCTCATGACCATGACTTGGGATTGTACTTTGACGCCCACCTGAGGTTCGATTAGAGGATCAGTGCGGAACTGGGGGCACAGATCAAATCAGTCATAATTAACGCGGCGAGCGGCAGGTATGTTGTCTTTCCACCGTGAGTGACTCACGCTAACTCTTTAGTTTCACCCTGGCCGGGCTTTACTTGGCGTCGGTCCTGTCTGCACTCTCGGTTTGGGAAAGACTCGTAAGCATCGCGACAGACTCAAGTCTTCACAATCCTGCGTACGAGCCCATGCTGAGTCGTGTGATGCAACAGAATGACACGGACAAAAAGCTCGCCATACACGCCCTGTGCTGGATTACCCTTGCGCAGCGGCCTTTACGGGCCATTGAACTTCGCTAGCATTGGCTCAAGCAGTCCACGCGTCAGAATTCAATGCCAGACTACTTGACTCTCAACATATGGTCTATATGTATATTGACTTTCAATAAATAGTCGATGTGTGTCTCGGATTTGTTGCTGATGTCTCTGAAGATGACGAAATTGTGACGTTCGCCTACGATACGACGCAACCGTATCTCAAACTCAAGCTTCAATCATTGTGGCCACTCTGCGAGGAAATGATAACCAATACATGCCTCAACTATCTGTCATCTCGTACATTCGACAGTACTATTGCTTTGCCAAACTATTTACCGGGCACCGACCTACAAGTCAGGGAATTAAAGACTCAACAAGCCGAGAAAGCCCAGCAAAACCCGTTATGGCGGTCCGCGGCCTACAATTGGGGAAATCACGCCCGCAACACACACGGTACGCATAAAAATGTCGAAGGCTCTTTGACGACTGCACATCATTTCAGGTCATCCTATCAACTTTTGATGGTGGAGTCAACATGGTTTGTCAATAAGACAGAGGACACAGTAATCACTAGCTGGGAACCAGGCTATGCGCTCCATTTGGCGGGAGATTTTGGCCTAAGGGGTCTGTTGCAGAGCATAAGTCAGGAACATTATCACAGTATTGTGTGCTCGTCTGATGGTTGGTCTCCCACGACTCTACATTTAGCTGCGAATTGTGGCCACGAGTCTACTGTTTCGTTTTTACTGGATCGCAAAGTGCCGAGATGTACAACAGAAACAAAAGGTGACGCCACTCATGATGGCAGCCGCCAACGGCCATAGGGGCGTAGTCACTCTTCTTCTGAACCCGAAGAGTGGAAAGTGTTATGTCCGATCAGCAAATGAGGATGGCGCGTGGGAGTGGTTCGACGAGCACTGCGACTCGCTTCATCTTTGCGTTTTTCTCAATTGCACAGTCAGGTTGGAGAAAATCTTGGATACAATGCCCAACGTGGACAAGAACAGAAGATGGCCAAAGTCGGGATGGACTCCTCTGCACCTGGCAGCTCAAGACGGCAATACGGAAGCCGCCATGTTGCTCCGCAAACACGATGTGAACGCCGAGATCCTTGATGAATGCGGCAAGACCGCAGAGGACTATAGTTCTTAGGTACAATGTATTTTGAGTTGTCAATTTTTGTCAAACAGTTCAGTCAGGTCTTATCAATCTCGGGTAGCTACATAAGAAAACGCAAGCATCTGTCATGCCAGGACGTCACATCACACTACGCTGAGCGCTCGAGTGATGTCGTGCAACACAGTTTCCACAAAGCCGATGACGACCGCCTTATCATTCCTACCCTCGGCCGTCATGTACGGCTCCCCAATTAGCGGCGTTGTCCACGCAGGTGAGGCACATTTCAATGACCTCCTTCATGCGGTCTCCCGCGGCCACGGGCACCAGCACCCGATTCATGTGCATGATTGTGCGCATGACAACGGTGGGATCCTGCCATAGCTGCCATTCCGTGACAGCATCCTGGCCGCCGCTGCCGCCGCCGCCGCCGCCGCTGCCGCCGCTGCTGCGCATGAAAGCCTCCCGGTACGGCTGCGACGGGGACGTGCACGGCCTGCCGCGCTCATCCGCGCCTACCTGGAACAGCGGGGCTCCAGGTGAGGAGCTCCAGCATGCACACGCCTAGGCTGTAGATGTCGTGGCCCATGCAGTAGTCTGGTCTCGGCGTGCCGCTGCTGTCGCTGCGGATGCTGGTAGACGGCCCGCTCGAGGAGGTTCTCGCCTCGCCGCGCCGAGGCCCGGTTGTCGACGGTGCGGGCGTCCTGCCAGCCGGAGAGGGAACAGCGCGAGCTTGCTGGAGGGGAACAGCACGAGCCGTCTGTCGGGGACGTGCTTGTGACACGAGGCCGAGGGGTGTGCACGGCCTTGGCGAGCTCGCAGCAAACAGCGCGAGGCGCTGGTTCAGGCGACGGCCCGCCCCGGATCGTGGCGGGTAGAGGTCCTCGAGCGTTCCGGAAGGTGCTCTCGCCGGCCGGGGACCCCGAACACGAGCTGGAACTGGCGCCTTCCTTCCTTCCCTCGTCGTGCCTGTAGCCGACCAGGGGAAGGATGCACTGCCCCTTGGGCGCCGCGCCGAGCTTGCCGGACAGGATGCGCATGTCCGCCTCGGCGGTCTCCATCTCGGGTTCTGGTGTACGGCTTGGCCTCGAGGAATGAAGCGGGCTGTGCCGTGATGCTCGGGCGAGCGCGTTGCGCGAGAGACTGCCGCGGACGAGGCGCGTGTGCTGGTTTATCTGGACGGCGTCCTCGCCGACCTCGCAAAAGTCGATGCCCCGAAGGACTTTGGACGATGTGGCGAAAGCGGGACTTTGTCATGATGAATGCGGGGGCTGCAGTTCAGCTCCTGCAATAGGCAACGCAGAGTGATGTGTCGGGTTTCTATCTTGGCAGCGCCGACAGAAGGATATCGTGAGGATGCAAGCAGGCTGGCGGCTGCATGTGGCTCAACCAGGCAGACCAAGGCATGCCTGGGCTACACGAGTCTTCCGGGAAGTTTTAGATGAGAACATGAGCCCGAGGCAACCCCGACTTGATGTCTCGAGGACGTCCAAGTACCAGAAGACGGTCCTACCAAGGCGCCGCAGTACCGAAGCCTTAGAGGTGAGGGGATACAGAGAACCAAGCGATACATGAGGTCTGCATCACAGCCGCATTGTTATACCACGGGCCTACCACAATTTCTGGCTCATCAGGTCTCTTGCCTACTTTGTTGCGTCACTGCGCACAGGTTCACACTGAAGTTTAGGGTACATTGGAAGCTGCGTGAGCGGTAGAAGCTGCAAAGGGAGCTTTTTTCCCTTCTAGGCCACCTTGTATGCGTGGGCAAATGCTGTATGAGGTTCAGGCCTCGGACCGGACGGGCCGGTCTACATAGGTCTATCGGTCTATTAGCCGCACGATGCTTGGAATGCGTCGGTTATCGTCACTTGCCAACTTTGCCACGGGTGGGAAAAAAAAAAGAAAAAAAAAAGTCACTGCCACCAACATTCAAATCAGTCAGCGCAGCTAAAATGGAATATCAATTTCAGCTAATCTCAGGGTCAGTTCTTCCAACTGTTGCGGAACGATAGGCTGATCATCTCGGCCATTGAACAGGCGTCCCATGAGCACCTCGCTCAGCACCTGACGCGCTCAGGTTAACTCGGGCGAAGAGCCGTCCAAGTTCGATGGTCGATTACTATATCGAGGCGTTCCGCTTTGAGCATTGTGTTTTTACTGTGGTATAGTGCGAGGCAAAAGTGATTCCGCTATCATGGCAGCAAGGAAAGTGCGAGCATGAGTGGCTTGAACTTGAGCCGCAGCTGGTCGAACTTGATGATGGCATTTATATGCCAAGATGAGTGGCTTGAGCTTTACGCCGCAGCTTGTTGAACTTTGTGACGGCATTTGCCTACCAAGATGAGTGGCTTGAACTTCAGCCGCAGGCTAGTTCATCTGCATCGTGGCATTTGTAGAGAGCAAGAGTATCCGGTGACCATCTATCTATTGCTTAAGCTGTCCTGGACCGCCGCTAGCACATTAAGCATATCGATTGAGCACTAAAACACACTCTACTCATTTAGCCCGTTGCTATTTTACTGTATGTATGTGGCTGGGCACCAACGGCGCTGTAGGGTCCCCAATCTCATCCCCTTCTTGTGTCGAATACGCCAAGCTGAAAGTCGATAAAAACGACGTTGCTGGAAAGAGTCAGGAGTTCTTTTTTAGCGCCGCCGCTGGCTCCCGCATAGGCAGCACCACACTAGATACCGGTCAAGGTTTATTATTAACTTGACATTTAACGTTTAACCTTGCTTGAACCTTCAGCTAGTTAGCCACGACCCTGGCAGGGGCTTGATGCCATGACTCCACCACCTCTCCCCGAGCAAGGGCGTCCCGGGTCGTATCGTATTTGTATTTGTATACTTTAATTCGTAGCAGCACGGCAACTGTGAAAAAGAGAGCCCACACCCTCGAAAATGGAGCCGCCTCCCAGCCATGGACCGGATCGCACGACAGCCGAAACGGTGGTGAGGGGCGCTCTGGCGCGGAACATGGCCTGCAGGCCCCATGTGTTTCTTCTGACCGTCCTATGGTAAATGTAATTATTGAAGATTTCCATCCTGATAGAGTCGACTAAATTATCCTTTCTTGATTCGATCGATGCGCGAACCTTGGTGAGGCCAAACAGGTCAAGTAACAGCTCCGTCATCATCACGAACAACCCCCGACGCCACTATCCACAGGTAGCTGCTAGAGTGACGCCGCACGATGCGACAAACTGAGGCAAAAAGAAAGGGTCGACGGAAGATTGGTACTCCGGGTATGGACCGACCTGTCGACACTTTACTTTATAAAGTGGCTTGGTTGGTGCAAGGCTGGGAGTTGACCACGGCATGCAGGCAGGCCACTAGACTAGGTAGGCGAAATCATCGCTGATCTCGACAGCCAACGTTGATTGATGCCTTTCTAGCCCGCCGATCTGCGCTAGGCCGACACATGGTGTCTGTGCCGCAAACTATATAGTTAGTTATTAACTAGTAAGTTAGTTAGCCGTTTCTTAAGTGCTCTGGTCGCCCCCTGGTCACTCGTCCCTCGTTCTATAGTGTGCTCCCCAACACAACTCCTTCCCCGTCGTATACCTCCCGCGGGTCGGAAATGTACCTACATGTCCTTTGCAAAAAGGTATCTCTTTGGAAATGTTTTTTCAAAATAAAACTTGGCTCTTCGATCAACTTCTCTCGTTGGGTTGTGCACCTCCCCAGGGTTGCTATTCCCTCACTCCCTCGCCTTTACCAAAGCTTAGTAGAGAAGGGCGAATGCGAGTTTTAGATCCAGGCTTCAGCCCTGTCAAGTCAATAGACACGGGGACAGGGTCTGTGGTTGGTTGGCAAGTTAACCAAGCCACGGTGAATCTGGCGGTTGAAAATCTCACCGTATTCAAACTTTAATCTCACCACACACACACATAACATGGCTTTCCGTCACAAGACAAAGTTATAGCACCATGTCAACCATATTAAAGCAAAGTGTCAATCAATGTACAGGCGCGATTTGCCGTCATCCTTCTTTCAACGACAGTGTCCTAAATCAGCCACACAACTATAATCCAGTGGCTTTGGGTCTACACGGGTCCTGAAAGAGGTTGCTCGGCACAGAGGAAGGGAAAGAAGATGACGGAAAATGGTTCAAAGTCGCTCTCTGGCTTGGCCGTTTGCAGAGACAACACACGATCCGCGGTTAGGAGGTTTTACGCCACTTAATACACTGTTACGTGTTGTTGAGTTTGATAGCTGAGCATCACTCTTACAGCTCTTGAATATTTATATCTCCCTCTCCGCCCCAGATTGAGCACAAGTTTAATCAACATCACTCGTACTTTCCCTCCATTCTACACATCTCTCAACTACAACCCTCTGTCTCTTTTTGACACCCTGGATACTAACAACCCCCCCAATTGGTGTGCTACTATTGCAAGACCAAGACCAAAGCCCATTCTCATTTCATCCCCAACCACCAAGACTCTCCAAGCTTTGATTCATTGGTCAACGTCTCCAACCATGGCATCCCAAAACGTACTGACGGCCCCATCCACCACGGAGCAGAAGCTTCAGGTCATCAATCTCGCTGGGGGTAAAATCCCAGCCACCTTGACCGAGGCAGACCTCGGAAAGCATCTTCCGCAGAAGGCTTCCAATGCTCCGTCCGATGGAGAGCCCTCCTACACATGTGTCACCCAGCGCAATCCTCCACATTCTTCTCCAGCCGCCATCATGGTTGGCCTGTTTGAAGAGATTCCACGCTGGAAAACTGGCTCCGTCATTAAATTTGCCACCTACTCCGATGGCTATCCCGCGCCTGGTGATGCTATTTACGCGGCCAACTGCCTCATTGAGGCTGCCGAGGTATGGAACTCGGCAAGAGTCGGCGTCACGTTCAAGTGGGTGCCTAAGGTCGACGATGCGGCATTCGTCCTCGCCTACGGTGGCGAGTTAAGCACCGTCCTCGCCAGCGCCTTCTTCCCCAGCAATAGCGACCTGGAGCACCTGTTCGTGTACCAGCATGGTTTCGACAAGACCGAACAGAACTCTAAGAAAGGCAAGTACAGCAACTACGGTATCATGAAGAATGTTTTCCTGCACGAGCTGGGTCATGTCTTGGGCTTGAGACATGAGTTTGCTATGAACCCGGACACCTATGAAGGAGGTGCAGTCGTTATGGGATCTGCGAATCCCGAGTCCGTCATGAGCTACGTCTTTCCACCTGAGCTGCAAGAGTCCGACGTCAAGGACACCCGATACTTTTACAAGCATCCCCTGATCGTTGACTACACTCCTGACAACTAAGCCTGGATGGCCAGTCCGGAAAGACAACGAACTGTTAGCCTAGTATGCTATATGCGTTGGTTGCTAGTTGCGCAGATTAGTTTCGGAAGTCGGGGAAGTCATTACTCCTGCTTGACTAAAAACTGTCTTTTCGGAAAGTGGAGGCACTTTACTCCATCTCCTATTTAATTTAATGTTTAATAAACAGTACTGTTATGCAATCTATAAACACCTTCTTTTCTTCCTTTTTATTATATAGTGAAGCCCGAATCAGGCTATATACGTGGCTGGGTGGGTGACGGCCCGGCTCGCCCGGCTCTCCCGGCCGAGCTGCATATGGCTCATCATTGCCCACTCCGGCAGAAAGGTTGCACGATAATGAAAAAGTTCTAGATGAAATACATATATGGGCGACTTCAAGAGATAAAAAAGTGCAAAAGAAAATTGGCAAAAACTCCAGAGGATGCAGGAAATGTCCCGACGTTGGGGTCAACGCAGTTTCAGCCTGATGTACTAGTTACCAAGGCTGATGATGACAGCGACTCAGGCACCGCGAGTCTGTACCATCAGCTCTCGTTGAATCTTAGACCCGTCCATCGACTACACTACAAGCTATGATCGTCTTTAGCCTGACCTGTCAGCTTAAACCGTCGTTAAATCTCGTGGGCGACGCACCGCCCCCAAAGCGTAAGCAGCCGCCCAGTTGGTCGAATAAGACGCCGTGAAATTCTTACACACACACCATGGCGCAGCATTCTCCCCGGGTTCTCGCTGAAAGCTGTGTATACCATAGCTATGCGCAAGCACCACCTCCGTATGCGCTTAGTCAAAGGTGACGACTCTTCCCCCGGTCCATGGGGGCACAGGTTGTCGCCAAAGGTGACAATAATAATAAACGTTGCAGGCTTGCTAATAATAAACGCCCGTCGCGGCCTCGGTTTGCTTCCCGAGCCTCGGTATGGGCCGATGAGGATATGTTATAAAGGATCCAAGGACAGTACTTTTTGCCTCTTCCCAGCATCGGCGCATCTAAAACACTCCCTCCGTTTCTCCGCAACCCATAAACTTCACATCATGACAGGCCTGGACAAGCTATACGACGTCATCATCGCCGGCGCCGGCCCCGTGGGCATGATGCTCGCCTCCGAGCTCAGCTTCGCCGGCGCCTCCGTCCTCGTCCTCGAGCGCGACCCGGGCCTCGACGCCGAGTGGAAGCGCATCCCCGTCGGCCAGCGCGCGCTGACCGTGCCCTCCCTCGAGTCCCTCCACCGCCGCGGCCTCCTCGGCCACCTCGCCGACTACGACGTCTCGCCGCTCGAGCGCCAGTGGTTCGGCGTCAAGCGCGACGGCGCCTTCTGCTTCGGCGGCCACTACGCGGGGCTCGAGCTCAACGCCGCCCAGTTCGACCTGACCCGGTGGAGGTACCGCCTGCGCGGGCCCGTCACCCGGCCGGCGAAGAGCTGCATCCAGGAGGTCACGGACATGCTGGCCGCGCGCGCGCGCAGCCACGGCGCGGCGCTGCTGTTCGACCACGCCGTCACGGACGTGGTGCGCGAGGACGAGCACGGCGTCACGGTCGCGGCCGGCGCCGGCGGCAGCACGTTCCGCGGGCGGTGGCTGGTCGGGTGCGACGGCGGGCGCAGCGCGGTCCGCAAGCTCGCGGGCATCGGCCTCTCCGGCTCCGACGCGCAGTTCACCGGCTACATGGCGCGACTCACCTTTGACGCCCGGGCGGGGCTGGACCTCGGCTTCCACCCGGCGCCCGGCGGCATGATCATGGTGTTCGCCGACGACTGCATCGCGCTGATCGACTACGACGGCGCCGCCTTTGACCGCCGGCACGAGGTCACGGTCGAGCACTTCCAGGCCGTCGCGGACCGGGTGATGGGCCCCGGCGCGCTGACCGTCCACGCGCTGCACTACACGTCCACCTTCACGGACCGGTCCCAGGACGCGGCGACGTACCGCCGGGGCCGCGTGCTGCTGGCCGGCGACGCGGCGCACATCCACTCGCCGCTGGGCGCGCAGGGCCTGAACCTGGGCCTCGGCGACGCCATGAACCTCGGGTGGAAGCTGGCCGCGACGGTGCGGCAGGAGCTGCGGGGGGCCGCGCGGGCGGGCGGGGGGCCGCCGGACACGGCGCTGATCGACAGCTACGAGGCGGAGAGGCACCCGCTGGCGGCGTGGGTGCTCGAGTGGACGCGCGCGCAGGTGACCACCCTCCAGCCGGGCCTCTTCGGGCGTGCTGTGCTGAACCTCACGCGGGACCTGCTGGCCACCGACGACGGCATGAACCTGGTCGTCGGGCGCGTCTGGGGCATCGCCCAGCGGTACGCACTAGGCGGTGATGGCATCCTGGGGCACGAGCTGGTCGGGGCGAGCGTGCCGGACTTCAAGTTCGCGGACGGGGCACGCATGGGGGAGAAGCTGCGCAACGGGCGCGGATGGCTGGTGGATTTCGAGGGCAGGGGGCAGATCAAGGAGGAGGTGGTCGGGACGGAGTTTGCGTGGAGGGTGAGCTACTTGGCGATGAAGGCGGAGGATGCAAGGGGCCTGAGGGCGGTGCTGGTGAGGCCGGACGGGGTGGTGGCGTGGTTGTCGGAGGGCGAGGTCGGTGATGTCGAGGAGTTGAGGACGGCGCTGCGGAGGTGGTTCAGCTATTAGAGGGGGGGAGGACAGGCATAGACGGCGTATTTGCATTATAGGGTATAGATAATTAGCGAGACCATTTCATACCATTTCTTATCGATCGAAATGTTAGTTCTTATGAGGTTTCGATGTCATTTCTCACATTCATTGGTACGACAACTCTCAACCTCCCATAGCCAACCTCTGTGAAGCAATACATTTCATATGCAATCTACATACCCTAAATCAGTCGCCAAACGCCAGACCAAATGTAAACACAACTCAAAGAACCCCCCCTACTCTTCACCCTCATCCTCCCACTCCCCCTCGCCCTCACCACCACCGCCCTCATAGTCAAAGTCGCTATAATCCTCCATGTCCTCATCCTCATCCTCCTCGTCCTCGCCACCCTTGTTGCCCTTCCTCGCCTCCTTCTCCGCCTTCTTGCGCTCCACATTCGCCTTTTGCTCCTTCTTGCGCGCCTCCTTTTCCTGCCTGCGCTTCTGCCAGCGCTTCTCCAGGTCCTTGACCTCCTCCTTGCTCTTGTGGATGTACTCGTGCCACATGATCTTGCCACCGCACAGGCCGTCCTCGACCTTTGTCAGCCGCAGCCGCATCCGCGGGCCCAACTCCACCAGCTTGACCGCGCGCCTCTCCACCGTGCCCTCCTCCCCGCCCTCCGCAGGCCCAGCCTCGCCGTTGAGTTCCGCCGCCAGCCGCGCCTTGGTCGACAGCACCTTGCGCGGCGCCGCGTCGAGCACCTCGACCTCGGCGTCCGTGTCCGGCTCGCTGCCGCTGGTCGCCTCCGTCATGTACCCGCTTCCCTCGCCGTCCTGCCCCACCATGTAGTCGGCGATGTCCTGCAGCCGGCCAAGGTTGGGCATGTGCGCCTGGCGCGAGTTCTTGGTCGTGACGAGCTTCTCGGCGGCGTTGATGCGCCGCAGCTGCTTGGAGACGCCCGTGTGGCGCGTCGTGATGGCGTAGTGCCGGAAGTTGAGCACAAAGGTGCCGTCGTCGGCCTCCTCGCGGTTGACCAGGACGACGCGCCGGATCGACTTGAGCGGCGTTGCCTGCGGGTTGATGGGTGGGAACATGGATCGGAAGACGGTCGTCGCCAGCGTCTCCAGGTGTCGCGGTACCTTGGAGTTGCTACCGGCGTCAGGGCGAGTCATGTTGTTCATTACGAGCTTGATTTCTGTTGTTAGCATTCTCCTCGCCCAAGAATGTTGTGATGACGTACGAGAGGCGCTGTGAGAAACTCCTTGCCCATGCCCTTGGGGTGCTTCTGGATCTTCTGCACGTCCCGGCACAGCGAGTACTGGTCGACGCGAAAGTTCATCGTCGGGCCGCGCGGCGTCAGCGCCACGCGCAGGTTCGTGTTGCCGCTCTCGGATCGCGAGAAGAGCATCAGGTGCGTCACGCCCAGCGGCCCGCACATGGCCAGGTAGTCCTTGAGCTTGTTGGCCCTGCGCTCCTTGAGTCTACTGGCGGTGCCGGGCTCCATGACCTTGCGCACGTCGGTCGCGAGCTGGCTGACGCTGGTGCCGACCTCGCCAGCGCCAATGCGGATGACCATGCTCTTGGGGTCCTTGGTCGTGGCGTGGCCCTGGATGTTGGACTCGGGGTTGTTGGCACCCATGTGGGTTCTCTTTTTTACTCTGCGGCGAGCCATGATGAAAGGATTCTCTGACTGGATTGACTTGAAATAACGAGGAATGCCAATGGCTTGAGGCTGTTAAAAAAGGCAGCCGAATGGTTGCTGGGTCGGTAGCCTCAATAAAAAAAGTTTTGGAGGGACGGCGATAAGATCCTTATCGCTCGTGCGCTAAGATTGCCCCGCTAAAATGTTCTGGACTGGACCGAGAGTTTTTAGGCCATCACACACCTCGTTCGACTTTTGAACAAATTGTCTGTCAATTTCCCCTGTGCATTCATCCCCTTATTGTGATTTTCTGCGTCACCATGGCCGATGTAAAAAGACGAAAAACCTCGCGCGATGCGCCCTCTAAACGAGTCGAGCCCGAAGAAAAATCCGTCTCTAGCGAATCCGAAGACGAGTCTGCAACCGTTGAAGCCGCCCCCGATGGCGAGGAAGAACTGCCCAAAACCTTTAAAGAATTAGTATGTCTCATGCACGCTTCTGGTCCTTGAAATTCTCCGCTCACAACTTCTAGGGCGTCGTCGACGCGCTCTGCGAATCTTGCGAGGCCCTTGGCTACAAGACCCCGACCGGCATCCAGGCCAAGTCGATCCCCGTCGCTCTGCAAGGCCGCGACGTCATCGGGCTGGCTGAGACTGGCTCCGGCAAGACAGCCGCCTTCGCGCTGCCCATGCTGCAGGCCCTTCTCGACAAGCCGCAGCCGCTGTTCGGCCTTGTCCTGGCTCCCACCCGCGAACTCGCCGCCCAGATCGGCCAGACCTTCGAGGCCCTCGGCGCCCTCATCTCGCTGCGCTGCGCCGTCGTCGTCGGCGGCCTGGACATGGTGCCTCAGGCCGTCGCGCTCGGCAAGAAGCCGCACGTCATCGTCGCCACGCCCGGCCGTCTCGTCGACCACCTCGAGAAGACCAAGGGCTTCTCGCTGCGCACGCTCAAGTACCTGGTCATGGACGAGGCGGACCGCCTGCTGGACATGGACTTCGGCCCCAGCATCGACAAGCTGCTCAAGTTCATCCCGCGCGAGCGCCGCACCTACCTCTTCTCCGCTACCATGAGCTCGCGCGTCGAGTCGCTGCAGCGCGCCTCGCTGCGCGACCCGGTCCGCGTCAGCGTCTCCTCCAGCCGCTACCAGACCGTCGCGACGCTGCTGCAGCACTACCTGTTCATCCCGCACGTCCGCAAGGACACGTACCTGGTGCACCTGGCCAACGAGTTCGCCGGCAAGTCGGGCATCGTCTTCACGCGCACCGTGTACGAGGCGCAGCGCGTCGCCATTCTGCTCCGCGCGCTCGGCTTCGGCGCCATCCCGCTGCACGGCCAGCTCTCCCAGTCCGCGCGCCTCGGCGCGCTCAACAAGTTCCGCGGCGGCGCGCGCGAGCTGCTCGTTGCCACCGACGTCGCCGCGCGCGGCCTGGACATCCCCAAGGTCGACGTGGTCATCAACTACGACATCCCGGCGGACTCCAAGACGTACGTGCACCGGGTGGGCCGCACGGCGCGCGCGGGCAAGTCGGGCATCGCGATCAGCATGGTCACGCAGTACGACCACGAGCCGTTCTTGCGCATCGAGGCCGCGCTCGGCAAGAAGCTGACCGAGTTCCCGACGGTCAAGGAGGAGGTCATGGCGTTCCAGGTCCGCGTCGAGGAGGCCCAGCGCCACGCCCGCATAGAGATGAAGAACTTGACAGAGGCCAGGAACAGGGGCGCCACCTCGAGAAAGGGCCGCGGCGACAAGAGGAGGCGAGACGACATGGACAGGGAGGAGCGGTAATGGAGGGTGTGATGGACATGGACCCCATGGAGAAGAGCAATGTGGAAGAAAATAGGGAAAATGTCATAATGAGAAATGTCGGTTGATCGATCACCTCTTTTCGGCGCAGCACAACGGTACGGAGTTACGGCTGTTAATTTACAATCAGTTTCACAGATTTAGTCATCCCATTCAGATGTTGGGCATTAAATTTAGTCTCATTCCAGTTATTCCATGATGCTCCCGTTGACGCCGTAAATAATCCATAACTGTACACGCAAATCAATATTCCCTCCCAAGAGTAATTATCGGTCCGGGTCGTCATCCTCGGCGTCCTCCATGTCTTCATCTTCGTCCTCATCCTCTTCTTCACCCTCCTCATCGCCTTCATCTTCGTCGCCTTCCTCACCTTCGTCGCCATCTTCCTCTTCGCCTTCCTCTTCGTCATCTTCTTCGTCATCTTCTTCGCCTACTTCTACTTCCACTTCCTCTTCTTCGCCTACTTCCACTTCCTCTTCTTCTTCCTCATCCCCTTCCTCCTCCTCGTCGACTTCCTCATCAACTTCATCACCCTCTTCTTCTGCCTCCTCACCATCTTCTGCCTCCTCACCATCTTCGCCTTCTTCATCTTCTTCGCTTCCTTCAACCTCAGCCTCTATCTCCTCTCCTTCTTCGTCCCCCTCTGTTTCCTCCTCTTCCTCATCCACCTCTATCTCTTCGCCATCCGCTCCCTCTAGCTCTTCTTCCCCCTCTTCGAACTCTTCTGCCTCATCGCCCTCCTCGACTGCCACGCCTTCTTCAACCTCAACCTCCTCGTCTTCTTCACCTTCGAGCTCCTCATCCTCAATGTCGGCGTCTTCGTCGTCCTCTGTTACGCCAGCAGCATGGATCTCCTCTTCAACGACGTCGTCCTCAAACATATCCTCCTCATCAGTCTCGTCCTCCAGAGCATGCTCCTCATCGACAACCTCATCCTCGAGAGTCTGGTCTTCATGGACCTCATCCCCGAGGATGTGCTCTTCAGCGTCGGCCATTGGTACATCGTGGACAACGTCAAGGATGCCCACCTCTTCGCCTTCATCTTCGCTGTCCGCGTCATCACCGCTAGTGTCACTGTGACGGCCAAGATTCAGCAACCCCTCAGATACCTCTTGGTCGTAACCTTCAGGCGCGTCGCTCAAATCGCTGTCCTCGCCCGAGTCGAGAAGGCCGAGCATGTCTATCGGCCTGGATTGGCCATCGACCTCTTGCATGTCTTCATCAGACTGCTCTCCCGCCTCGCGCCGCATCTGTGCCTCCGGGCTGTCATCACTGTCGTCGTCGCTCATGGCCATGTTCGGACCTTGGCTTCCTCGCTTGGCGCTAGAGATACTACTCTTGCGGCTCTTTGCTGCCGTCTTTGGTGGCTCCAGAGCGCGAACAACTGCTTGCTCAGCCTTGCGAAGAATGTCGGGTCGCCTGACGCCGGTCTTTCGTCTAGGTGCAGCTTCCGACTTTTCTGTGTCCATCGGCGTAGTGGTCCCAGCACCACTGTCAATCTCAGGAGCGACTGTCAGGTAACTGCCAATAGGGCCCCATGGCTTCTCGGTATGTTTATCACTCTCCGCAATTGCCGATTGTTTGTCATGGCTGCCGTCGCCCTCGGCCAGGGACTTGGCGGTTTCTTTCGCTGCCTCGAGCTCCAGACGATCCGTAATCTCTTTCGCTTGGTTACGATCTTCGATAACCTTACTAGGCTCGAGACCTGGCAGGCTGGTTGCGACGTCTGTGTAAAGCTTGGAATAACAGTCGTTGATGAGATCATCCATCGGGCCAGCTTTCATGAGGTTGCCGTTAAGCTTCTTCAGCTCTACAGCCTCCTTCATACACTCAAAGGCGGGAACCTGGGGACTGTCGCCGCCAGCCCACTGGGTGATGCGGTCGCTGATAATCTCAAATTCTTCCATAGAAAGTGACTTGAAAACGTCTTCGCTGATAACAGGGATGCTGTGGACCTCGCGAATAAGAGAGACGTATGCGACAGAGCAGGATTGCCACAGGTCGTTGAAGTGGTAAAAGTCGGCGCTCTTCTTTCGGAGACGGCGAAGCAGCAGCTCGAGATCGACACGGTTGCTCATAATAACCAACAACTTGACCATGAACCGAGTATACTGCTCTGTAAACACGTGGTGACGACCAGGACGCTCCGCATCGCACTTCCACACATTCATCACCATGGTCTTTGTAAACATGTTGTCTCGCAGAATGCCAAAGGCTGCCTTAGCCTCGACCAGTGTGTCGGCGCTGTCCTTAATAGCCGCCTCGTTGAATAGAATCTTGGCATGGCGCATGACAATTCTGTGTTGCCAGTTTGACTTGTCCTTGTCTCGAAGCTTTGTCAGATTGCGAATGATGTATTCCTCCCAGTCTTCAGGCTCCGAAAAGCTGGCAAAGTGGTCGTTGGGGTTGACGGGGACGCCGAATGGTTGCTCTGAGAGAACCTCGGCCGCATTAGCAGCAGTGATGTCCTTCCCGATCACCATTTTGTGCAGGATAGAAACAATCTTGTAGTGAGGCTCCAAGATGGGATCACTGCTCTTGGATTTACGCGGCTTGTAAGTAGCCGCAGTTGACTCTTTTAGGGCATCCAGAATCATGTCTGTGGTGATTTGAGTCTTCGACTGTCCCTCAGGTAGCTCCTCTGGGTTGCGGAAAAGCTTCCAGTAGCATTTCGCCAGCATGTAATGATTCTTCCAGTTGTTTGGCTTGCGCTCGATGGCCATCTTGAACAACTTTGCAGCAAACTTCCACACCTGGCGCTTGGTCATCTGGTCGTGCACAATCTTCTTGAACGTACCCGAGCCCATGTCTTCGATGAAGAAACGCTCCTGTTCTGCGTGCTGAAACGGTTCCATGGCAAATGGCTCTCTGCTGGATGAGTACATGCGTGTCGCAAATTTATAGTACAGGTCGTGAAGTGCATCGCCATCTTTTGTGCTCACCTCTTGCTTGTAGGAGTGCGAGAGAGCCAGGGTGTAACAGTGGATGGCATTTCGTTGCAATTTAACAAGCTCGCCCCTGTCCTTGTTGATCTTGTCTGCCGTCCACAGAACTGATTCGTCCAATTCATAGTCGAAGCATTCTGCGAGGCGAAACCATGCGTCCCATTTATCCGCCGTGAGCTGCAGCTGCAACCGTAGAAATGTTGCACCGATTCTCAGATCATCGGTAGCCCCCGGCGTTTGTCGACGGTTAAGCTCGACGCCCTTAAACTTTGTCAGGGCGATCATGCCTAGTAAAAAGAACCAGCCGCCATTCGCCAGCGCCGCTTCCGGGATGTTGACCGTCACAGAATCCATCGCAACACTGCCAGTCAATGCGCGGTACAAACGCAGGGGATGGATCGGCTTCTTCAGAACTTCTGTCAAGTTTCGCAGGTTATGCATCATTTGTGGCGTCGACTTGGTTTGGCCAATAGTGGACTGCATATGATCGATGGTTGTCTTGAGATCAGATTTGAGCAAGTCCTTTAGCGAGAAGCGACTTGCCAACGTCATGATCTTGTCCACAAGCTGCATCGTCTGTCTCTTCTCCAGATTCTCATTGGGGCAGCCATGATCCTGCAGCTCCCAGATACCGACACCAATCTTGAGGCCGTAGACGTCGTATAACACTTGTCCAAGGTGGTCTTCCCAGTTTTCAACGTCATTCAAGCTGAGCAGCTCGACACGCATGAGGTTCAAGAAAACCTTGTTTGACACTTTGCAGAACTTGCGGTGGCCGATGGATAGATGAACCGCAGCAAGGAACGTGGCCAACTCGTTTTCAGGTTTTATGATGTCCTTGTTCGAGAAAATGTCTTGCTTGATCAGGGTGTAGAGGAGACACCAATTGCGAACCTGCATCTCACGAAGCTTATTCAAAAGCGATTGGAAAGTTGGGTTGGTTGATTTTGCAGCGAGAAGACCAACCCTTACTTCGTCCTCGAATAATGAAATTGAGTGAAGCACCGTGCTGAGGCGGGCCAGCGCAGCCGCACTCTGTTTGATATGGCCTTCGTCAATGATGTCAAAAGCTGTCTTGTCTTTCAGTGCCGTAATCAGGGCATCGACAAGCAGTTCATCCAAAGCCTTCATCGTCTTCATCAGCAGCATCCGTCGTGAGTCTTCTTGCATGCTTGTATATCCATCGCTGCTAAAGTCATCAACAATCATCTCGATACTCTTCAACAGGCACGAGAATCGTTTCGTTGTGTAGCTGATGGCTTCGTACGCATCGCCAAGGCGAGACCACAGGAAAAGTCGTAGCTCGATGTTACTGTTCTCCAGAAATTTCCACAGGTCTCGCATTCCTTGGGTGGCACATTCCGAGATTGGTTTCGTCGCCTGATCAGATTGCTGTAATTGCCCCCCATCTGACTCGGACGCTCTCTCTGGGGCTGTATGGACCGATGAGGGATTAAGCACCGGCTCAAGAATATCAATGACTGGCAATGGATCCGTCATATTCTCTTGGAATAAATTCAGGAAAAAGTCCATTGTGTTGAGCTTGGAAATTTCTCGATCGGCGGCGGCGGCTGAAATATTTGATATGGCGGCATTGTTGGGGAGATTGAGAGGCTCGATGCTTTCTTGGGCAAGAAACTCTCGTAAGGATGTCCACATGGCGAGAATGTGCTCACGAACAGGCTCGTCTGCCAGTGCCGAAGCCATAACCGAAGCCCAGAGAAACCGCACGCAGAGCCGATCGCTAGCTGGGCGGCGTAAAGAGCGAGCATAGTACGATGCAACAGTTAACCAGCGGCCAAGCCTGTATTTCGTTTTTAGTCGGGTGACATTGTCCACGACGCTCGTCGGACTGGTTATGCGCTCGTAGACGTCAATTTGAAGCTCAAAGAGCATAGGAATGACGGTTTGTAGCGCTTCCAATGCTTTCATATCCTTTGACCGAGTCGCAAGTTCCAGATCCGAAATAATGTGCCCGTAAACTGTAGCATCAGCATTCTCTAGCACATTAAGAACTGCCGCTTTGAGTTTGTCTGGCCATTGCTGCTCGGCATAGCTTTTACTAAGCTCAAGAACCCACTCGTAGATAATATCACCTGTGGTAATCCAGTCTTGGCGTGCATTAACAAGGTCGGCAAATTGCTGCAGCCCTTTCTTTTCGTTGAAGGCTGTTGCAGGCGTCTGGTCCTGGTGGCTGGACTTTGCATTCTCCAGAAACGACGATAGGCTAAGCGAAGGCTGGCTCTTCTTGTTAAGCAAGACGTTTGCGGTCGTTTCGCTGAACTTTTCGAATATAGCATGCAGGTCTTGGGCTGCGACGTTCGTGAATTTGGCCGGCCGATCTTCGCTACAGGAGATTTCCTGAATCTGGCTCAGTACGTCGAAAGTTCTCCTGTCTTCGACACCGATGCTTTCGAGAATGTTTTTGGTGACTTGGAATAGATTCTGGTCCGACTCCTGGTATGCCTGTAACTGCGCGGTCGCTGTAGCTGCGGGGTTTGTAGGCTCTTCGATGCTCGTCATGTCTGTTCGACGACGAACCCGCTTGCTTCGCGTTGAGGCGCCAACCTCCTCCTCAGCCCCGTCTGGGATACCGGCTACAGATTGTGATCGTTTTCTCGTTGGCATCGGGGTGCTGCCTCCTTTCTGCGATTGTTCGACCGCTTTTGTAGGGCTCTCCGACCTATCCGCGCCTCCCTTTTTTTTCTCGCTAACATCCTTCTCTGAGGGCACCTCGTTGGCGTTGTCAGGTTCCTCAGTATGCTCTTGCTCGGTAGACTGAGTGATATCCCTAGGTACATCTTCCAGTGCTTCGTCTGGCGTGGCTTTGATGTTGGTACAAATAGCGACAGCAGCCTTGATATCATCCAGGTTCTTAATAAGCGAGTCTGCAAGTTCAGACCAAGATGAAATTGACTCGTCAACGATTGTCATTGAGATATCCTCGGCCTCGTCCTCTTTTGGTGGAGTCGAAGGGGGAGGCGTAAGTTGCGCTGTAGGGTCGGGCAAAAACTCTATAGGGTCGAGATGGACTTTGAGTGCATCTGGCATGTACCGATTCACCCATGGTGCCATGCTCGGATGCGTCAGGGCCATTTCGTCGCTGAGCACATGAAGGTGATCCTTCAGCTGCTCGCCTGCCCAGCCTTCAGCCAAGGAGGGCGGCTCAACTTCGTCCACCGTTGGGTCATCATCCAGTTCGATGGCAGCTTCGAGACAGAATCTTTTCAGTCGGCTGCTATTGATGGATGCTGAGAATCGTGACGTCCTGCGCCAAAGCTCTGGGTCTGATGGATCTTGGTCGAGGGCCTTGGCCCAGTTGTCGAGAATTTTATCTGCCGCATCATCAAAATGCAGCTGTTTTACCCCTTGTGACGGGTCGAATGTGTCCTTCAGCTTGTCGAGAAAGAACTGGCCGTAGTTTTTGTACGAAATATAGAGCGCTTGCGCCAGGCTTGCTGCAACACCATCGGCGCCACCAGCATCAACGCCCAAGCCAGCCGAGAAGGCCTCAAGAGCTAGAGTATCAGGCTTCCCGTCGATTTGTCGCTCGGCTCGCTCGTAGTCGGTCCTGGCCTCGCGGTATTTGAAGATTTCGCACTTAAAGAGTTCGTCGTAGGCTTCTGCCGCTGCGTCCCGGTGCCATGGTCCTTGCGCATGAAGCCGAAGGGCCTTCTGGAACAGCTTCAACGCTTCGTCTACCTGTAAATTTGTCAGGTAAGTATTTCACAGCATGGGTGCCGAGGAACCGTACGTGGAGCTCTTTGGTGGTGTCGATCTGCTCGTCAACGTTCTCCTCCGGCTCGAGGTTGATGGCCTGAAAGGCAGGCTGCGCCGCATCACTTGTTAGCTTAATAAACAGAATTTTCGGCGTACATCGTACCATGTTCGCTGCCGGAGATTGAAAAACTGCAGGTCAACCATTCGGATGTGCAATGGCGATGGCAATGGTCAGTGTTCTTTGCGCTGATTTGCACTTGGCGCGTTCACTGCCCTGCAGCAGTCGCGTCAGTTAACAGGTGCACTAGCCACACCTTTAAGTGTGGCGCAGGCACCATTGTCTTCTTCGCAAGGAAGCATCGTAAGTATTTCGCCAGCATTGCGAGGGTTGGCGGGTAATATTAGGGTCATACTTTTATTTTTAGTCATTTTCATGCTATGAAAAGTCGGTCGTTCTTTCATCTATAAAGCTGGCTGAACACGCGGCATATTCTTTCTAACAAGTGTTATCAGCAGCACACGCTACATAACCGCCCTATTATTCGCAAAAGCCAATAATAGTTGCAAGCAATCAACATTAAAAGACTTAAATACCATGAATTAGATAGGCTCTTCTTCCATCAATCCAACAATCGTGAAATGTGCTCATGTGCGGCTGCAAAGCCACGTGTGGCGGGTCCAGTCCTGTGCCACATCCCCTGCATCGCCAATCTAGCAGCTTGTGGACTACGATAACAACAGCTTCTCTGTTCATCAACACATCTTACAGTTCAATCTAGAAGTGCACTTCCGGTCGAATCTTCGAGCGCCTGCTATCAAAATCCTTGTTCTTCGACTTTCCAGGCTGAGAGCTACCATTACGCGAAAGGACTTGCTCCCTGGAGCTAGCTGTCGCAATGTTGGCCCCAGCTGTGCCAGAGTAGGTTGAGGGCGGGCACAGACAGAGAAATGCATTGGCTAATAGAATCAGGATCACGGAAGAGAACCTCCACGAATCGATTGATGCCCGTACCGAGTCGCTTCTCTCACTGCGCGAGCTCGGCCCGCCTGACCTCGTCCACCTCCTGAGGCAAAGCACACGCAACCCACTAAAGCAGGTGCGTACGTTGACGCCCGTGGCATTCGTATACTGACATTTTAGTCTGGTGTTTACCATCATGTCACCGGTGTCGATGCATCCTCCTCTGCCAGTCTCGCGGCATACATCAACACTCTCACATACAAAGAGCATGGACCCAGCACGATCTCGAAGATTGTAGAGGGTGTCTTTTGGTAGGAACATGCAAGTATCTGGATATGACAGCTGCTAACAGTTTCAGCTGCTATAATGCTTTCTCCAGGCTTGATATGCGAGTGCACGTTTCAATCCCTGGTACCGTCGAGAGCTACTGCGTTGACGAACGAGGCGAAAAGCGCAAGGCGTCCGAAGATCTCTGGCTAGAGACGTATCTCTGCAGTGTCCTGCGTGCATACTCCTATGCCGATGATGGAAGCGGCGACACAATTCGCAAAATCATGGGCGTGCGCCGCTTCAACCCAGTCACCAACACCGAGGCCGAGCACCGCTTCCTCTTCGCCGCTGAGCAGCTCTTTTTCCGCGGTAGGTTGACCGCCCAATTAGCAGTAACTTTCTAACAAGTTGCAGGCTGGCAGCTCGGGTCCGACTCCGTAGTCCAAGTTCCGACAAATGTCTCGAACCATCTGACTACTGGTCTTTTGAAATACCTCGAAACGACCGGCCGGTACGCTTCCGGTATCAACCTATTTGAGAAGCTTCGCACGCAGAGCATCGAGGTCTCGTCACTTCTCGCCAAGGTCCAGTTTATGGGCAGCGAAGAAGTTGCCGGTGTCAAGGTGCTGTACGAATCTCTTCAGCAGACGCCCATGGACTATGTCATGCTCGACACACAGGCCGAGTTCTTGATGAAGAAGGCACAGAAAGCCGAGACACCAGAGCAACGAACCGACCGACTGACGATGGCGAGGGGATGCGCAGACCGTAGCACGGTTGCTGCCCCAAGCGAATTCGGAACTTGGGCCAGGCTTGCTCAGGTTTACGTGGCGATGGAGGACTGGGAGAATGCACTCACCACGCTCAACTCGTGTCCCATGTTTACATATCAGGACAAGGACGCACCTTTGATGCCAGAGCCCAAAGAAGTGCAGCTTCCCATTCTGGCTGAAACCAGACTAGATGAGATTGACAGCGAACCCGAGTCGAGATTTTCCGAACAGGTCGACCCCAGTATCCTGGGCCTGCGGGCGGCCGCCTATCGCGGAACCTTCAAACAAGCATACAGTATTTTGACGGAAATGACGTCAAAGATTGGTTGGGACCAGCTACTCAAGATTCGCAGCACTGTATTCGTGATGGAAGACGAGTACCGCACGGAGAAGCAGGAGGCGACACAGGGCGCTCACAAGCGAACTCCCAGCACGGATGGCCTCCGTGGCACTCCTGATCCAACCTCGAATGGCGACGGGAAGGATGAGGATGAGGACAAAGGGAATGAGGCCGAACAGACTAATGGCGAGAATGGTGTTGAGCGTCCTTCCAACACCATTGATCCCAAGAGCCTCAAGGGCGATCAGGAAAACGTAAGTTGCCCTCGGGGATTTCTGAATTTATGAACTATACTAATGATTTGGCAGGGTGACGGCGACGAGGCTTTGTCCAAGCTCAATACAAAGCGTTTGTGTGAACGATGGTTGGACAGCCTGTTTATGGTCCTATATGAAGACCTGCGGGTGTATACGATTTGGCGCACCCAAATGGCCCAGTACCGCGCACAGCAGATGCAGTATAAGAAGTCTGCTGAGGAATGGGAGATTCTGGGCTCCCTAGCTGAGCGTCTTCAGCATTTTGATGAAGCTGTCGAAGCATACCGAGCATGCCTGTCGCTACGATTCAGCCCAAAGGCGCTTTCCGGTGTCCTCCGCGTCTACGAGCGATCCAAGAGCACGCGCGAAACTGTCGCGTCCGTCATTCGGCTGGTCACTTGGCAGTACAGATGGTATAGCGAATTCAGCCCTGAGCTGCTACACACCATCCGCACGCTGATTGAGGACGAAGGTGCCGTCAAGGTGCGGAGCATAATACAGGCCACGAGCCTACCCCAGGCGGTGCTTGACCTCACGCACCACTATGCTGCCCTTTGCGCAAACTTTCGCAGCAGTGGCACCGAGGGTTAGTCGGAGCAGCGCTACCAAGATCGAAAGGGGCTGTAATTGGGACAGTAGTTAATAAAACAGGCGCGATTAGTAGGAATAGAAGGATTAGTTGAGCAGTTAGCAAATACAGCAGGCTACAATAAATATTTAAATATGTTGCAGAAGCTGCTCGAAATAATAAGCGGAATGCCATGCCACCGAGTTGCCCCTCCTGGGTGTGGTGGGGCATATCAAGAACTTATCACCAGTGCCACCAAGAACATTTTGACGGTTACAACAACGGCAGCAGCTCGACCATCAGCAGCAAGAACCGGTCGGGCAGTCCTAAACAGTCATGGCCTCTGAAACCACCAGCGCGGCGAACGCCTCGGGCGCTTCGAGCGCGTCATCTCCCGTCGCCATTGTCTGCGTCGGCATGGCAGGTCGGTCGTGACCCCAACGCTACCAGAGCTTCCGAGAATCAAGACAGCTAACTCAGGGCAGGTTCTGGCAAGACGACGTTTATGCAGCGCATCAACGCGTATCTCCACGAAAAAGAAACGCCACCCTACGTCATGAATCTCGACCCCGCCGTCATGTCGGTGCCATTCGAGTCCAACATTGACATTCGCGACTCGGTCAACTACGAGGAGGTCATGAAGCAGTACAACCTCGGTCCCAACGGCGGCATCCTGACGTCGCTCAACCTCTTCGCCACCAAGGTCGATCAGGTCGTCAACCTGCTCGAGAAGCGCACCAAGCCGGACCCCGAGAACCCGCAGAAGAAGCCGATCCGGAACATCCTCGTCGACACGCCCGGCCAGATCGAGGTGTTTGTGTGGTCGGCCTCGGGCACGATCCTCCTCGAGTCCCTCGCTTCGTCGTTCCCGACCGTCATCGCCTACGTCATCGACACGCCGCGCACCTCGTCGACGTCGACTTTTATGAGCAACATGCTGTACGCGTGCTCGATCCTCTACAAGACGAAGCTGCCGATGATCCTCGTCTTCAACAAGACCGACGTCAAGGACGCCGAGTTCGCGCGCGAGTGGATGACCGACTTCGAGGCCTTCCAGGAGGCGCTCCGCCGGGACGAGGAGTCGGACGCGCTCGGCGGCGGGCCCGAGGGCGTCGGCGGCCACGGCGGCAGCGGCTACATGGGCAGCCTGCTCAACTCGATGAGCCTCGTGCTCGAGGAGTTTTACGCCCACCTGAGCATGGTCGGCGTGAGCGCGCGCGCGGGCACCGGCGTCGACGACTTCTTCGCCGCCGTCGAGGAGAAGCGGCTGGAGTTCCTGCGCGACTACCAGCCGGAGCTGGAGCGCCGCCGGGCGGAGCGCGACAGCGAGAAGAAGAAGGCGCGCGACCGCGAGCTCGACAGGATGATGCAGGACATGGCCGTGGGAGGAGGAGGAGACGGCGCGGGCGCGGCGGACGAGGATGTGGACGTGGAGAGCAGCGGCGACGACGAGGACTCGGGCGACGAGGCGACCAAGAAGAGCCTGCAGGAGCGCTACCAGGCGGCTCTGGGCGACAACGAGGACTCGGTGCTTGCAGACGCCAGCTTCGCAAAGTATCTGCACACGCAGAGGTAGCGGCCCCTCATTTCAGAATATTACGAGGCGTTTGGTGTTTTCACATGATGGATCAATTTAAATTTCTTGACAGTTTATAAATGCAAAAGTGCTTCTGACTAAAAGCAGACTTAATCCCAAACTCCAAGCACCGTAGCTGTATTCCACATCCCCGTCTATCGTCATTGCGTTTTGTAGTCGCCTATGCTTTACCGCATGGACTCGTTCACATCCCAATCTACCGCGCCTCAAACTGAACCAAACTGCACCATCCTGTTAGCGACTCCCCCAAATCACGCTCGCGAGCGAAGCGAGGATCCAAAAAGCCGCTTACCGCTTCGTGCGCTCCTTGTAGAGCACGCGGCCCGCGCAGTGCGGGCACGCGACGACGGCATCCTTGCCGAGGGAGACGTGGCCGCCGCAGTCGCCGCAGAGGTAGGTCATGACGGAGCGCGTCTCGTGGCGGCCGACGTCGTGGGTGGCGCCGCGGGAGGCGACGGCGCCGGCCGAGGCCGAGGCCGTGGGGACCTGGTACTCTTCGCGAGGCATGTCTGTGTATGGAGATTTAGAGCGCTTGGTGATTTGATGAAGGTTGGGTGATGAAAAAAGTGATGAGGTTGGACGAGAGGGCGGTGGTAGTGGCGGGTGCAGAAGAGGCAAAGAATTGTGCCGGCAGAATTAGGCGGTGAGTGGACTTGGTCGTGGCAAGGGTGATTTTGACGCGGCAACAAGATGGGCGAAGGTTGGGGTGTGGGTTAGCTTTGAGCGAATTCCAGGTCAAATTGCTCGTTGGCATTTTAAATTCAACTAGCATCATGATCAGTATAATTACTGCCGACAGCTTCTGCCTCGTCTAAACCGAGTCGCCGATGTTTTGTCCGGCCATGTCGGCTACATGAGAGACAGCTACACATTCAACAACATGTAATAGAATTCATGAGAATTTTGCTCCAACTCTACTGAAAAGTGCAGCCTATACGGCGTAGCTATTATTCATCTCATAACTATTCCCTTGGCTGTGTTAAGGCTCCAGAAGGTTTTCTTACCCACCAAGAGGTGCCTTCTTCGAAGGTACACTGAGATTCAGGTAATAATCCCTATTGCGCTGTTACCTACATAGATGCAGTTCGGGTACATCGCTGCCCTAGGAATCATCACTGAATTTTGAGTATTTGTCCTTTCCTATACTACCATTGGTTTATATCCTTGCGAGTGACCTTCTTGGAGCCTTAACACAGCCAAAGGGGTGCATTATTCCTTACTGCGTCATGATCAGCGCCGCTGCATATCCGGCACGAGTGGGGCCGGCTCGCCCATACCTCGGTCTGGGGAAGCTGCAACCACATCACATTTCACCTCCAGCATACATCATCATCAACGTTTCTTTTGCCCCAACCAGAGCGCATGTTCTGCCCGACAGCATGTCTTCTCAATAATCCACTGCACGCAACCTCACGCCCCCTCAGCGCAGCCACCACACGCGTTTTTCCTTTCCTTCGCTCCGACAGCAATGTTCGACCCATCCTCGGCGCCCGAGGACGGCTGTCCGTTCTGCGAAATCGCCGACCACTTCCCTCCCTACGACCCCCTATCACCACCCTCCGACCCCGTCCCCGCATCCACCACCACCGGTTCCGCTCGCCACGCGCCCGCCACCTTTATCGTGCTCTCCACGCCGACCGTCGTCGCCTTCCTGGACATCATGCCGCTGAGCGCCGGCCACGTGCTCGTGTGCCCGCGGCGACACCGGCCCAAGCTGACGGACGCAACGCCCGGCGAGGCGCGCGCGCTCGGGGAGCAGGTCCGCGCGCTGTCGTCCGCGGTGGCCCGCGCGACGGGGGTGGACGACTGGAACGTGGTGCAGAACAACGGCGCGGCCGCCGCGCAGGTCGTCCCGCACCTGCACTACCACATCATACCGAGGCCGGAGATTCGCGCGTCCGGGCGCCTCTCGTCGAGCTTCACCATGTTTGGGCGGGGGCAGCGCGAGGAGCTTGACGATGTCGAGGGCGAGCGGCTAGCAGCCGAGATACGAAAGTGCGTGGCCGAGGTATTGAGGGAGGACGTGGAAACAGAGCCCAAAGCTAAACTGTAATGCTGTTGGCTTGTTTCATTGTATCATAGCATTTGGCGTTGGGTGATTTTGGAGGCTAGAGCGTATACAAACACGGAGCAGCGTTGCGGCATAATTTGTACATTTCTATAGAGCTCTATTATAGTTTATACTTGGTTGTACTCCTTTACATCTTGAATCTGATTCGGCCATGTCGTCTACTCGTCATCGCCAAAGAAAACTTTGACGGGAAGCCAACTGTCGTTGCAGACCTTGAAGCGGTCAGTCACGCCGTCAATCGTCTTAACCTCCTCCTCTGTCAGACCCCAGCCGTCAATATCAAAGTTGGCCTGGATGCGGGCCGGAGTGACGCTCTTTGGGATGACGCTCCAGCCCTTTTGGATACCCCAGACGAGGAGCACCTGCTGGACCGTCTTGCCCTTGGCTTCGGCGAGGGCCTTGAGCGTAGCATTGGTGTAGAGCGGTGAGTTGGTAGAGCCGAGGCAGGAGTAGCCAGTGCTGTAGATGCCCTTGTCGGTGGCATAGGCGACGAGCTTGGGCGAGGGGTTGCACGGGTGCAGCTCAATCTGATTCACTGCTGGGGTGGTCTGCGCGGGTTAAGCAGTGTGGTGGACGGGAAATTTTCAGAACACACCTTGCAGCTGGGGTCATTAAGGAGAATCTCGAGGTTCTTGATAGCAAAGTTGGAAACGCCAATGTTGCGGACCTTGCCGGTACCGACGAGCTTCTGCATCTCGCTCCAGGTGTTGACAAAGTTCCAGTCATCATAGACGGCCTTTTGGCCGGGAATGACGGACGCGGGCCAGTGCATCAGGTAGAGATCGACATATTCGACGCCGAGCTTGGCCAAGGAGTCATCGAGGGCCGCGGCAACGCGCTTGTGGTCGGTGACATTGAGCTTGGTGGTGAGCCAGACCTGGTCGCGGGGCACGCCCGAAGCCTTGATTCCGGCACCAACCTCAGACTCATTGCCGTAGGCGGCAGCCGTGTCGATGTGGCGATAGCCGGCCCGGAGCGCGGCCTCGACGGCCGCCCGCACCTCGTGTGGCTTAGACTGCCAAGTTCCGAGGCCAATGGCGGGGATCTTGTCGCCGGTGTTGAGTGTGAAAGTGTGCCTGGAACAGTTAGAGCGGGACGATGCGGACGAGGAGACGGTCAAGAGATGAGGGGGTGATAGCAGAGTAGTGATAGGATGCATAGTGTTGAGGTTCAGGTATGCACGGCTCGGGAGAGAACGTACGCGGTGTTCTTGACAGCAGCCATTTTGAACGTTTTTGGTTTGTTTGAGATGCAATTGAGGGGTTTTGAAGGGTTTTTAAAAGGAGGGGAAAGGAAGAAGAAAGAGCAAGACAATGACATGGGTAAAATACATGATCGTCCAGTTTGTTAACAGTCGCGACGGACCTTGGAGCTTGGAAGCTCCCCACAGCGTCGAAGCCACTAACAGGTCCTCTACTTGACGGAATAATACACGTTATTGTAAACAAGGAAATTCTGCTTAATCATTTATAATCTATAATTTGGTATCAATTTAACTAATGCCATCTAAGCCGTGATATTCTGTTGTTCCTAAACGAATTCCGGGTTGATGGTCGTCCAGGTGCCTTTCAATATGCTTCGACAAGCTGGCACCGTTCCCCTCTTCTGCTATTGTCCCCTCTCCTTCATTTCTAATTCAGGCCCCGTCCAAGCACCCAGTCCCGCCACATTCCAACGGTGAGCTGTGTACCGTACCCAAGGCGCTCATTTCGACGAATCACGTACTAGTCTGCTACGGTTCGCTCTTCCGGCGATGGGGCTCAGCTTTGTGCGCAGTCTTCGCTGACGATTGCCAGACCGGGCCTGATCACTAGCCAAGTGGCCATCGGGTGGGCATGTCTCACAGACGAAGATAGCAATTCGATTACAGTGGTACGCACTTAATTTAGTGGCCAGTCGCACAACGTTGACCTTGACCCCTACAGACCCAAACTCGGAGCGTCAGGCAACATACCCTACACATCGCAAGGAGGGACGCTTAGCAAACAACCTCACGAAGGAAAGATGCCACGAACGAGTACCTAGATTGAGTGCTTTAGTACAGCGATAAGCAAGTCACCGTTCAGTGACGGTATACCCGTGCCAGGGTGGCAATATACCGGCTGAGGTTTCGCCCTGGTATTGGGTGCTTTGGCACAAGTTTGGCATACATTCACCACCATAGCCAAGGCAGACAGCCACTGTGCAGCGACATAGCAGGATGGAAATCTACCAAGGAGAAAGGCAGGGCGACAAGGTATTTCCGGGTCCTCAATGCAAAGGTCCTGGAGACGCCGCCAGCCCGGCTCGTATTCACACTATGACGCTCCATCCGGCTCGATCCCTCGCGGCGCTGCGGCCCATGATCGGCCATGTATTACAGAATACGATGTCAGCTCGACTACCACATCTCAGATCGGCCTAGAATGAAAAGGCGCCGATTGGGGGTCGTCCTCGGAGCCCTACGCAACGATGGAATTTATTTTTAGCGCCTGCTAAACGACATTATGTCTCCGGCCCGGGGGCTTGACGTCATACGGCACGCGGCTGCCAACGATGCGGGTGGCGAAAAGGCTTGGCTGACGACTGAGTACGGGTTCATCTTGCCCGTTCGTGGCCCGACGGGACCTAGATCTTGTTTAGGGGGTCGAGTTCTGTGTCTCTCTTCGGCAGGTCGCTTGACCTGGTAAGGCTCAGTGACGTGGTGCTGCACGGCCCTGAGATCTCGGACAACGGCCCTGTCAGGCTGCGACCCTGGCCATGACACGGGCCGTTAATACGACACTCTTGAAATGAGCCTCGTCTATCCTCCTGCAGCTATCCGACTCGCGAGACTTGTCCATGTTTTTGTCTCCGAGCAAGGTTCTTTATATGCCCAAAGCTTCATGTGTACAGGTATAAAGAGGTGGACTTGGCCGCCTCCTGATCATTCCGCAGCATCACACATTTCACAAACACCAGCACTAAAGTAGCACCAACAGTCACGCAAAACCCAGACAACCCACATAATAGACACCATGAAGTTCACCGCCGCCATCGCCGCCCTGCCCGTCCTCCTGGCCGCGGCCCACTCCACGGCCCGCGACCCGCACGAGTTCCTCGAGCTCAACCTGCCAGAGCCGCACAACTACGTCGCTTCGCCCATCTTCGCCGGACAGGAGCTCAGCAAGTTCACCGCGCGCGCTGAGGGCGACGCCTACACCGAGGAGGCGTGGAGCGAGCACGCAAAGAGGCTCTGCTACGACACGCCCGCCTGCACGACGGTCAACTCGTACCTCTGTAAGTCGCCATTCTGAAAAGCAGCCCTTCCTACAAGGGACAGCACAGTAGCTAACTTGTATACAGTCGGGCCTTCCGGTGCGTTGAACGGGACCGGGGATGAGACGTACTGGTTCGCATACCTGTATGCCGGGCCGACCTCCAACATCAACGACTGGGTTCACTTTGACGCTCCCATCTCTCACCAGCGCATTTTTACCTCCATAGTCCACTAGAAAGCAGGAACTCGATGAAGATGCCGAGAAATGGCGCCGCCCGTCGCCGCGCAGACTGAGCCCCCGGCGTCCGATTTCCGCCCGTTCCGTGGCAGCACCGAGATTGGGGTTACGAAGCAAGGCAAAAGTCAGAGACCCAGTACAATCAATGCAAAAAAAGCATTCATGAATATACTTTTTTATCTCCTCTATTTTCGTTTCATCGTACACTGCCCGACTGATTAGCATACCTCCTCTCAACGCCTGCCCCGCCCACGTACGCTGGTAAGTGATGATGGAACTTTCAGCTCGCGGCACCTCCGATTATCGAGTCTCCCATAGATCGATTGCATTGCGTGCGAGGTCTTTGCCGCACATCGATTTCTCAGGCCGCAAGGGCTTTTTCGTGCGAGGCCTCGTATCAACGCCACGATGATGGTCGAATCCAAAAACCAACAAAGAACCCTTCAACCAGCCCCCGTGCCTGACAATGTTCGCATCGCGGCCACATAAAGCATAGCTCACAGCAGCTCTCCCAGCCGCACGATGCCGCAATTCTTTGTTGATAAGCATCGCCATGTATTGGCTGCATGGCGACGTTGCTGATCGGCCCCGCGCATCACTAACTAGTACCCTGTCAGATGTGGTGCCCGCCCAGCGCCCACGAATGATTCAATGCAGACAATGTATGGCGTGTTATCGTTATCCCTTACTTTTTCACCATTGCATGACAAGATGACCCGAGTTTGTTCCGCGCCGCCCCCCTGTTGTGCGGCTTCATCTCAAGTCGGCTTCGGTTGCGTGATCGGGCACAGTCGTGCCGTCATAGCGCACCAGCTTGCCCAGTTACCGCCAAGCACGACCATTACTGCAGCGCAAACTCTTATCTTGTATATAATAAAACTTATCCTCAAGAACACACTTTTAAAAAAAATGTCTCAGAACGGCTCATCACAGCAGTCATGGGTTTCGTAGATCGGCTCCGGCCGTCCAAGGCGACGACCGTCATCTACGCGCAAAGCAGCGAGACCAGCCCCAATGCCTCCTCAGTCGACCAACCCAGCGTCATCCACGATGGCGAGCTCACCTACAACCGCGTCAAGGCCGGCAACGGCTCCGGCGTTGCCTACCAGGAGGCCGGCGGTGCCCCGGTCGAGAGCCGCTCGCCGCTGGGATACCACGTCGGCTGGGTGACCATCATCTTTCTCAACATTAATCAGATGATTGGCACTGGTATATTCTCGACTCGTGAGTCCCAGTCCTCGTCAGCTCCTGTTGTTGTCTTGCTAATACCTGCCAGCGGGAAGCATCCTCAGGTCGACCGGCTCCATAGGCCTCGCCCTCATCTACTGGGCCATCGGCGCTCTCATGGCCGTCGCCGGCTTCGGCACGTACCTCGAGCTCGCGAGTTACTTTCCCAACCGCAGCGGCTCGGAGGTAGTCTACCTTGAGCAGGCATACCCGCGGCCGAAATACCTTTTCCCCATCGTGTTTGCTGTGCAGTCCGTCATCCTTTCCTTCAGCAGCAGCAACGCCGTTGTGCTGTCGCAGTACGTCTGGCGCATCGCCGGCAAAGTGCCGACCGACTGGGAGATGAAGGGCGTCGCCATTGCCGCCTACACGGCCGCCGTCATCTGTACGTTCTAGCCAGCAATGTGGTTGGCCTTGACTGACTCTTTCAGGCGTTGTCGTGCATAACCGCTACTCCCTCTGGGCCGTCAACGTGCTCGGCGCGTTCAAGATTGCCACACTCGTCTTCATCAGCATCACCGGGTTCGTCGTCCTCGGCGGCCGCGTTCGCCGTGTCGCCGACCCTGGTGCCAACTTTACGAATGCCTTTGCCGGAACCACGAACAACGGCAACGACCTATCCAGCGCGCTCGTCAGCATCGTCTTCTCCTACAGTGGCTACCAAAACGCTTTCAACGTCGTCAACGAGATCAAGGATCCGGTGCGCACCATCAAGAAGCACGGCCTCATCTCCGTCGCCATCGTCTCCGTGCTGTACATGCTCTGTAACATTGCCTACTTCTCCGCTGTCGACAAGCAGGCCTTCAGCAAGTCCAAGGAGATTGCCGCCGCCGTCTTCTTCACCCAGGTCTTTGGCCCCGGCGCCGCCGAGACGGTCCTCAACGTGCTCGTGCTGCTCAGCGCGTACGGCAACCTGTTGGCCGTGCTCATCGGCCAGTCGCGCATGATTCGCGAGATTGGGCGCCAGGGCGTGCTGCCGGGCACCAGCTTCTGGGTGTCGACGAAGCCGTTTGGCACGCCGATCGGGCCGTACGCGCTGAAGTGGGCGATGACGATCCTCATGATTGTCGCACCGCCGGCCGGCGACGCGTTCCAGTTTGTCGTGAGCCTGCAGACCTACCCGTAAGCGTGCTCCCCGGCCTGTTCAGCGCAGCTGCGTACTAACTTTGAGCAGATACAGCATGTTCATCTTTGCGATGGCGATTGGCGTCTTCATCCTCCGTCGTCGCCGCAAGAAGAGCAACATTCCCAAGTCGCAGTTCCAGGTATGGGACGTGCTGCTCGTCTTCTTCACCCTGATCCAAGTCTTCATCCTGGCGATGCCGTGGTGGCCCCCCAAGGGCGGCCCGTACGCCGGCGACGTGAGCTTTTGGTACGCCACGTACTGCGTCGTTGGCATCGGCATGTAAGTTGTACTCAAGCCGTTCGTTCTACAGAATACAGTCGCTAATCGCAAGCAGCATGATCGTATGCGGACTGTACTATGTCGCGTGGATGTACGTGCTGCCCAAGTGGCTGGGGTACCGCGTGCGCGCGGAGATCCTGACGGCGGAGGACGAGCCGACGGCGACGCATAGGCTGGTCAAGGTGCCGGTGGCGGAGGTGGCCCGGTGGGATGCGGAGCATACCGAGGCGGGCGAGCTGCGACGGACGGGCACAACGACGGACTCTGATAGTGTCAGGGACAAGACGTAGCTGTAAGTATGAGGGTATCCATCGAATTACCACGGGTGGCCGCTTCGATAGTCTCGTCATTCACGATCAAGAAAAACTGCTTCGAGCGTCATTGCTCAGAAGATTATCCGGCATTACCCTTTCGTACGATCGCATCGGATTTTGAATGAATCTGGACCAACGGTTGAAACTTTTCGATGGTTTTGTTCTCTGAGGGTACATTCTGACGCCGGTAGGACGTGCTTGTAATTTCTTGCCGAAAGCCTGTATCGACCCAAGCCAGGATGACCGCCGATCTCTGGTGCGACGCGTTGCAGCCCATTCGGTAGATGATGAGCCCAAATAGGAAAAAGCATTCCTCGTGCCATCGGCTTTGGTTGGAGTCATCGCACGCCGGTCGCTGACTGTGAATCGGAGGAATCCCGGTGGCGTCTTTTGCAGCCCGATTCGGGATGCGTTGATGATGCCTGAGGGTTTCGACGGATCTTGTGGCACCCCAATAGTAGCCGCAAATTAAATTGCTCTGAACGCCGACTGCCAAACCCGTGACCTTGATGGCATCGTCAACAGCATGAATGCGCGGCTGAAAGCTAGTGACCGTGAATAGGCAGCTCAAGTCTAGGCAGCCAGACGCCACAGGATAAAGTCAGTAGTAAGTCTAGATATACACTAAATTCTACAAGAAAGTTACCTTCAACTACAAGCTTCTCTTATTAATAATCACCTTATTACTTGCATATATAAACTCAGTGACTTCCTTACTTCTTCGCCCGTGCTTCCTCTCAGCTTCCCACTGTCACTTTCAACACCCACTCCAACTCTCACCTACGCTCACCCACTCTCACTTACACCCACATCCACAACTCACCATCCGCTATGCCTCGCTTCATCTTCCTCGTCAAGGCCACGCCCGTGACCGAGGGCCTCCCCGGCCACGCACCCCCCACCGATATTTACGAGCGCATGGCCGCCTACAACGCGGAGCTCACCGCGGCCGGCGCCTTTGTCGACGCCGGCGGCTTCAAGCCCACGGCAGACAGCTACAAGGTGTCCTTTGGCGTTGACAATGGCGCGGCGGCCACGCAGGGTCCGTTTGACGTCGAGCGCGAGGCGCACGTCTCTGGCTTCTGGATTGTGCAGGCCGGAAGCGCCGAGGAGGCGCTGGCGTGGGCCAAGAAGATTCCCTTTGGCCAGGGCGAGGTGACCGTCCGCGAGCTGCGGGAGAACTAGGCGGGGACCAAGAACGCGAATGGGGATAAATTTGGGTGGAACGGAGATGGAATTAGTATGTGCATACGTATGAAATACATTGGGTTCTACTCTGCGTCGTACTTGGAGAGCCTGTCATCCGTCAGCACCCACTCGAGCGAAGCGAGGACTCGAAACTTACTCTATCAAGTTTCCGTCCGGATCCCGGATGTACAAGCTCCTCATCCGTCCCCTCGAGCCTGTCCTGTACACAACCTCCCCGCCCTCCTCAAACTGCACCTCCCCCGCCTCCTTCAGTCTCCTCCGCACGTCCTCCAGCGCGACGCCGTCGTCCAGCTCGAAGCAGAGGTCCGCCGTGCCCGGCAGCGCCTCCCGCGCCTTGGGCTCGAACTCGGCGCCGCGCTGGTGCAGGTTGATCTTGTGCGCGCCAAAGTGCAGCGCGCGACGCGGCGCCGTGCCCTCCGCGTCCTTGGGCGAGACGAACTCGGAGGCGCGCATGCCCAGGTGCGTGGTGTAGAAGGCGACGGTGGCGGAGACGTCGGCGCAGGTGAGGACGAGGTGGTCCAGGGTCTTGAGGGTGGTGGTCATGGCTGGCTTGTAAATACGAAAACGATTAGGGGTTAATTGAGATGGAAGGTGGCTGATGTGAGTTGGAAAGTTGGGCGTTGGTTAGATGCAAGGTTGTAGTAATCTTGGCCCGAAGGAAAGCGAGGAGGCGTCATCGCGATGCGGCTTGGAAACGTAACATTACGAAACTAGCCTGACTCTAAGCCAAAAAAAATGAGATAAAAAAGCACTCAGTATGACATGACGTTATTATTCAAGAAAAGGCCCAACATAAAGGAAAGAAAATTTTGTCCGACTGGCGAAATGTCTTGGCGATTCTATATAGGGCCATGAGTCCTTCCCTTCCCCGCGGGGTAATCGACATCATACCCGCCCTGTCTCCGTACAGTCCCCCCCCCC